TCCCCCCTCCCCCAATCCAACCGGAATGTGCCGGTCGCCTCTTTTCTTCTCGCTCCGTCCGTCTCCGGGCAGAAAGCGGTAAGTGGTTCCATTGCCCGTCGGGGTCGGGGAGTTTATGTCAAGCAACAAAGCAAAAAAAAACAAAACCCAGGTGATAAAAGCAAATCGATATAGATCGCGAAACCGAAAGGCGACAAGGGTTGCTCGTCTTGCCGACCGTGGCTTTTTTCTGAGGTGGGTAGAGATCATCGCCGTGGTGTGTGTGTGTGTGTCATTTCTGCTCTCAACAGACTTTTGTTGCTGGCTGGTTGCTGCAAGGCACGTACGTCGGACACGAATGCGTGGGGTTTCCTCCTCTCCACTGCCCACCTCCCCTGTCCGTGTTTCGGATCTCGCCCTCCAACTCCGGGGAGTGGGGGGAGAGGGCGTGTATTGTAGGGCTGTTTACAATGGGACCATGGCACACGTTGCGAAGCGAGCACGCATGGGGTTTTTGCTGCATACGGCCGACTCCACAGGGCGCTTCGTGACGGGGTTGCTGTATGACGGGAAGACAGGCAACGTAGTGTACATACTACGTGGTGTTGAGCTTCGTGTCGAGTGGCCGCTTTGGAGAGTACCCGCTTCTTGACGCTTGTGGCTTTCTCCCTTTTTTTAATTTTAATTTTTTTCGTAGATGCGGATTGTATAGTATGTACATGGTGAATTCGGCCTGAGCATACGAAGTACCGAACGCTGGGGTGCAGGTTTTGCCCCACTACGTTATTTCAAGGAAAGGAACTCCACTTATTAAGGTGCTCGTCTTCATGCTTGTGTGACCTTTCGTCTCGTATCTGTGAGGGCAAATTTGACGACGGCTGGCATGAGGTGGAGTTTCTATATGGTGGCAAAACCCGCAACAGATTTCACAACCACAACGCCCTTGCAGTAGTGTTTGCGACATCCATTGAGGGCTGTAGCTCGGCAATGCATGTAACAGCTAGCGCGGAAATCGCGGGTGGTGTTCAAGCAGTGGATAGCGGAGGTTGAGTTGAGGTTGCGATAAGTTGAAATCGGTCCATGTTACTGTCTTTGGCAGTCGACAGACGCCTTTATGTACGGGAAGACAGAAGTAGCGGTAGCTTTTGCACGCAACGTCCTTCTGCAGATTGTGTGATAAGCTTTCTGGCGAGATCTCAGAACAATTGGTTGGTCCCTGCGGTTTTTACAAGGATCCCTATCTCCTCCATCTTCGGCTTCCTGATTCACGACAGCTGGTGATATTGAGTTATAGAGCACGTGGCAGCGCGAGCATTGGCCATTCGGACTGGATGCCGTGTCCGCTTTCGGGAAACGCGATCGTGGTTCAACGTCCTGTCAGATGCCCTACGCAGGGTCCAGGCTCCCATGGTTGGTGTGACCGACGGTCACGTTAGTAGGCACTCTGATCGCAGAGCAGACAGCCAGACAGCCGACCAAGCTGCTAGCATGGTAGTAGGAGCAACGCTCGAGACAACGCATCCCAGGTAGCGGCACTCTCCATCATCGGCGGTGGAATCGACGTAGGCGGCACGTGCCTTGAGTGTGAGCACATGAGGTCGTCTGCGAGAGGCGGGCTTCATTGGTCCAAGTGGCATCCTGACCAGAGCGCTGCTGGTGAACAGTGCATTCTTCTCTGTGCCGGACGATGCCCAAGGCAGGCGCTGACAAATGAGAGGGATCTGCCGCAAGCTGTGGAAAAAAAAAAGAAAAAAAAACTAGCTGCGAGGTAAAAGGAGAAGAAGGGAAGAGAAGACAATGGACGCCGGCGTGGTTGAAAGGGGCGGACAGGTCAAATGAAGGGAACACGGGCAGGTGCGAAAGCGAATGCGTGGCCGGCGCGGGTGAGGCAGGCAGCTGGGAATTCGTCCGGCCGCCACCGTGCCATGCCTGGCAGGATTTCAGGCCAACTTGAAGCATTCCGGGCCCGCCTAGCGCAGGCGGCGATGGAGCGCACTTTGCCCGTCTTTTGATCCAGAGCATCGCCGGATATATCGAAGCAACCACGCATCACGCGCCGCCCGTTGGCTAAGCCCGTTGACGCCGGCGTAGCGCGCAGTAGCGATCGCTTACCAACCTTGGCCTCGTTCCCGCCCCTCCTGCCCGGCCAGCCAAGCCCGGCACCCAAGCGCGAGCCTGTCTGACGCAACGCCCGCTGCGCCGTCAGCCTGCAGTGCCTGCTCTGCCTGCTCATCTGCGATCTTCCATTGAGGCCTCGAGGCTCTCGACTGTCGTTCCCGCTTTATTGCTACGACAGCCCTGCCGTCTTTGTCCTCTGCACCGGGCGGTCCTCGCACTCCCAGCGCCGGCGAGCCTGCAGCCAGCGCCCAAACCCCGTCCACCGCACCGCTCACCTCCGCTCACCTCCTCGCCGCCCACACCACCCGCACCATGCAGCACGCCGACGAGGCCCAGGACAGCCTGCCCGAGCTGCAGTCGCCCACCACTCCCGTCGACTGCTGCTTCGACGACGACGACACCATGGCCGTGTCCGACGACGACGACGACACCACGCACGACCAGGACCGCGTCCACCCGCCGCCGCCGCGTATCGCCGCCCGCTTCTACCGCCCGCCCAACCCCCGCCGCAAGTCGTCCGCCCAGTCGTCGCGCCGCAACTCCATCTCGTCGACCCACTCGCACCAGAGCGGCCTGTCCGCCGCCTACCGCTCGCAGGTGTGCCAGAGCACCCATGTCGCCCAGCACCTGCGCCGCGCCTCCATACTCGAGAGCCGCAAGGCCCGCCTCGCCGACCGCGCCGCCCACGCCGAGCAGGTCCGCCTGCGCGCCGCCCTGGCCAAGTCGTCGCCCCGCGCCTCCAACAGCGAGGAGAAGGCCCTGGCCGCCCAGCACGCCCGCGAGAAGCACCTGGCCCAGGTCGCCGCCGCCTGCGCCGAGGAGGTGCGCCGCGCCAAGAAGGTGGCCGAGGACATGAAGGAGCGCAAGGCCCAAGAGGAGGCGCGGTACCGCGCCGAGATGCAGGAGAAGCTGGCCGAGGCCGAGCGTCGCCGCCAGGAGTACAAGCGCAACCAGCAGCGCCGCCCGCGCACCGCGAGCGTGCCCTCGTCCGAGCCCAAAAAGCCCTCGCCCGACGCCATCGAGGCGCCGCTGGACGACGAAACCGCCGTCCGCCGCATCCAGAGAGCTTGGCGCACGAGGCGCAGGCGCCGCATGGTGGAGTCGTTCTTGGAGCTTGGACTGTCGATCGACAAGGTGCACGATACGAGCTTTGAGGACATCAGCGCCCAGATTGCGGAAGAAAGGGTTATTTCGGCCACCGCAAACCTGCTCAACCTGTTTGGCTTGCAGGGCTCGGCGGAGGACTTGATTGGCACCGACCCCTCTGCCATCCGCACATTCTTGAGCGCCTACTTGATACTGGGGCACCCCGCCGCCGTCCTCAGCAGCAAGGATGGCGACCTGGAGCAGGACTTGATCAAGAAGGCGACTGATCTGATCATCTCCTTCGAATCGACCTTGTCCAAGCTCTGTTCCTCGAATCGATACACGCCTCCACCGACGCAATTGGAGACGGTCGTTCTCGCTCACAGTGCTTTCGTCACGGCCTTCTCCAATTGGAAGGCGCAAGATTCCCACACGCTCGTTGAGATGATGGTCGCTTCTTTCGTGAATCTGGACGCCATCTGGCAGAGCGTCAAGGATGACACGCGCGGCGAGGTTGCCAACGACTACCGCCAAGGCATCCGTGACAATCAGGTGATTTTGCTCAGCAAGATCCGCAAGCTGGCAGGGCCCGAGAGGGCAAATCAGCTGATCAAGAAGGCGATCAACGAAAGTAGACGAGCGAAGGCTAAGGAGCGGCGCCGTCGTCCAGTCGGAGACGTGCGGCCCAGAGCTGCCGAGAGCGACTCCGCATCCGAAACGTCCGAGAATAGCAGCGATGCGTCAGCTTCCGCGTCTGCTGACAGAACCTCGAGGGGGCGTGATTTGTTACAAGAGGACGCAAGCATCGCTTCGCAACGCGACATTGATATTGAGGGGGCGCAAGCCGATGCGCTGGCGAAGCTCTTCTCGCCGATGCCGTCGAACCGAGTCCTGGTGCACGAGCTTGCCATTGACAAGGGATTCAGAATCGACGAGGCTCAGCCCTCAGAAGTCAGAGATGCCCTGAATCGCGAGATTTGCGAGAGCATGAAGCGCGGCTTTGAGCGCGGCGAGGGCGCACCCTGGACGACTGCCATGGCAGACAACATCAGAGGCAAGCTTCTGAGATTGTTGAAGCCGGGTAACTCCATGTACAAGCTCATCTCCGAGTCGTTGGATCCCGATTTCATCCACCAGCAGGCCACTCAGGGCGTGTTCTCCTACGATAGGTTCTTCTCGTTCATGGCATCCATCCTGCCCAAGCTTTGCGCGCCTTTCAGAGACGTGCAGGTCAAGGCCCTCGCTGAGGAGTTGGACGAGTCTGGGGATCTCGACCAGATGGTTGGCAAGCTGTTCAAGCTTCTCCACGTCATCGATTTGCTCGCCCTTGATTACCAAAACTACTTGCTCCACACCTTGGCGCCGACCCTCATCAAGGAGGCCCCGGGCTACGAGCAGCGCGCGTTCGCTCAGGACCTAGAGAACAGCGTCATCACACTGCAGAAGACCAAGCGTTGGTTTAGCAGCGCCAGCGTCAACTGCCTCACGGAAGCCGATCGCCGCGATCCCATCTACGGGCCTCCCACCGCCCAGAAGATATACGCCCGCGGTCTCGTCGACCTGGCCATCGCGCCTCCCCCGCTCCAGGACTCGGAAGTGCCCGAGACGCTGGCCCTCGACCAGGCACGCCTCGCCCGCATACGGCAAGACGCCGTCAAGGTCACCACCGTCGGCGCCATCCTCCTGACCGCCAAGAACCTGCTCCGCCGCGACGTCCGCTCGCAGTGGAAGCCCGAGGCGCAGCGGCTGTGGGCCCTCTTGAAGGAGGGCTATGTCAGGGAAGACGGCTCCATGCCGGCCAAGATCCTCTGCGTGCTCGAGTCGTCGCACGCCATGCCGCCCAACACGCGCGCCCAGCTGTCCAACACCATCACCCGCCTCCTTTCGCAGGCGGCCGCCGGCCGTCTCGCCGACCCCGTCATGAAGGTGCTGTTCCAGCGCCTGAAGACGCACATCTTGACCCGCATCAGCGCCAGCACGAGCGGCGAGCGGGTGCGCGCGGCCACGGGGGCGAGCGAGGGGCTGGCCACGAGCGGCTTGCCGGAGTTTGTGGGACAGGTGGGCGATGTCGTGGAGCAGCTGACCAAGATCAGCGAGGTCGATCGGAAGGCGCATGGGGTCTGGTATGAGCAGATTGCCGCGGAAGTCGAGAGGATGGGCAGCGAGGAAGAACCGGTGATGGCTACGCCGAATTAGATCGTACGATATCCTTCTGTTTCTTTCTTTTTTTTTTTTTGCAAGAGGAGCGCCGATAGACAAGATTGACTGACTTGGAGGAGGAGACGGGGCATGGCGTGGCATGATATCGTTCCGTTCTTTATTTTTCTTTTTTTGTTTCTGCTTTTCCTTGCGGTTTGGATTGGGCATAGGGGTTTCCTCCTTTCTCTTTTCCTTCGGATTGTCCACCGTGGCATTGGCACACGCACGGAGGTTTTTCCATTTCCATTTGGTTTGCCGGGGTTTCTTCTTGTCTTTTTTTCTGCTCTTGCTTTGTCGGAAATCACGGGGGAAACAGGAGCGTTTGATTGACAGGGGGGGTGGGGTATACATGGCTTTGGAAAGGCGTTCTTTTCGGGGATATATACCATCTTTTCCGGTTTTTTTCGTTTTTTTCGTCGACGGTTGCCAAAACTCTCTCTCTCTCTCTCTCTCTCTCTCTCCCTTTTATTTGGGAGTTGGGCAATCATATCCGTGCCGTTCGTCGTTCGGCGGCGCGCCTTTCTGTGTTACTTTTATTTTTATTTCTTCTCCCTCTCTCTTCGTTTAATGGCTACGCTGCGCTCATGCGCTGTCGCTGTCGCTTAACTAGGGAAGGAAGGGAACTTCCTCTTATGCTGCGATCAGTAGTACTGCATTAGGCGTTAGGTCTCGTAACGGTCATGCTTTCCGTGTCGTTTTCTCCTCTCTCTCTTCCTCCGTGTGGTTTGGTATTCAAAGTTGGTACCTTACATTTTGGTTTCCCCTTTTCCGCCTTCGGCAGATTGGTTTTCGAGATACGTAAAAGAGGGACGAACGTATACATACGCGTAGACTGAGAAGAAGATATGGCGGGCGGCTAATGCTATGATGTTGCTGAACTGTTTCGTGTCATGTGCGCACTTACTTGGGCTTTTTTGGGGCGTGAGGACGAAGACGTGTTGTTGTTGTTCCTCCCCATTCTGGGGGGATTCCCACACGTATGCATCTCTCTCGGCGTATTATGTCACAGACTCTTTTGCGAGGCGGTAGTAGTCGATCAAGGACCGATCGTCGTGACGAATAGGTTCGTTTTCCAAAAAGCAAAGCGGAAGTGAAAAAAATTCAAGTTTGTTTTCTTTCTTTCTCTCAATCAATCAATCGAGCAGGCAAAAAAACCAAGCCTTACCGCACCGCTTGCAAGACAAGACCAGAGTTTCGGAAAGTAAAAACGCAGAAGTGAAAAGACGAAGAAATGGAGACAGAGAGGTTCCCGACGATGATGACGACCAGTACCCCTCCTCAACCCCAACTCATGGGAAAGCGCCTCAACGGCGTCACGCAACTGGGAGCACGTTCGGAGTCGTCGCGAGGCGCAACGAAGACCAGAATTTTGTTTTTGTTGCGGGCGGCGCGGGGGTGTTCGGCAGGATGATGTAGAGAGCGTTGGGGATGGGTGATGGTGGTGGTGGTGGCCGTGGCAGTACTAGTGGCAGGAAAGAGCATCGGCAGTGGTAGGCTGGTCTTTGGTGATCGGAGGGGCGGAGGGCGGCGCGCGACGGACTGCTAGGCGCGCTCTTTGCAGCCATGCTGCTACTGCTGCTGGGGCTGCACTGGCGGTTTTTTCCCCCTCTCCTGCTACCCCGCGTCCTTCTGCTTCTACTTCTCCTTCTTCTCCTTCTCCCGCTGCTGAGGCAACCCCTCGGATCAGTAGAGAGGGACCGCTTGGCTTTTTTTTTTTTTTTTAATTGGTGCTTCTCCTCGTCACCGTTCTTTTCCTCCTTGGTGGCGGCTGGCGGCTGACCAGCAGCAATAGGAACAGCGGCCGAACCGGCCGGTGGGTGTCCCTCGCCCTTTTTGTAGGGAACGGCGAAGTAGCGCTCACCGTTGTATGTCAAGTCACCCTGTTGAGACGTCATCGGAGTTTTGTGTAAGGTGTGGAAGGGAGGAGGGGTCGAGTGTGAACTTACGGTTTTGGTAAAGACACGGCCCTTGGGGATGGTGTATGGGAGTGCTGACATGGTTGCGGCCGAGTTGAGGGCGGTGGTGTTGGCATTGACAGCGAAGGGCTGCTTGGCTCTTTGTGAGGTAGAGAAGAGCACTCGGTTGAAGTCGGACGTTTCGGAGAAGAGGAATAATAGAGGCTAGCCAGAAAGTGTGGCAGAAGACATAGGCACGACATGGTGAATGTCATGTCCCTGGTTCCGCAGTGGGCCCCAAGTGTCAACAGTGACAGCAACAGAGAATTTGTTTAACCGCTAGTACGTACTACGGTGTTGAAGTGGATTGTGTGGAAAGTGAGAAGAAGAAGAAGCAAAGCGAAGCCACCGATCCCACTCCCCTCCTCCACACAGCAAGAGAGAGAAAGAGAAAAAAAAAAAAAGCCCCACCCTCCCCCCACAGCTCAAGCCACGCTTCAACCCTCCAACGGCGGCGTATCCGCAAAGCACGCCTTCATAAAGACCTCGGGATACCGCTCACCCGCCACCTCCGCCCCCTCACTCGCCTCCCTCACCACCCTATCCTCCTCATCCGTCAACTCCACCTCCAACGCTCCCAAATTCTCCACCAACCCCTCCACCCTCGTCGTCCCGGGAATGGGCACCACATCCACCCCCTGCCTCAACAGCCACGCCAGCGTCAACTGCGCGCTCGTCACCCCCTTCCCCCTCGCAATCCCCTCAATCCTCCGCACCAACTCCAAATTCTTCACGAAATTCCCCCCCTGAAACCGCGGCAACACGCTCCTGAAGTCTCCCTCCCCCGCAAAATCCTCCGGCGACTTGATCGCGCCCGACAGCATCCCCCTCCCGAGCGGGCTGTACGCCACGACCGCCACCCCCAACTCCCGACACGCCCGCAGCAGCCCCACGCGCTCCGCCTCCGCATCCAGCGCAAACGGGCTGTACTCGACCTGCACCGCCGCCACCTTCGCGACCGCGCACGCGCGCCGCAGGCTCGCCGCGGAGCACTCGCTGAGCCCGATGTGCCGGATCTTGCCGGCGGCCTGCAGCTCGGCCATGGCGCGGACGGTGAGCTCGATGGGCGTGGCGGCGTCGAGGCGGTGGCAGTAGTAGAGGTCGACGGAGGGGAGGCCGAGCCGGCCGAGGGAGCGCTCGAGCGCGGCTTTGCAGTAGGCCGGGGACGAGTCGATGGAGCGCGCGCCCGTGGCGGCGTCGAGGCGGTTGCCGAATTTGGTGGCGAGGAAGATGGTGGGCCGGCGGGTGGGGTGCGCCGCGAACCATCGGCCTAGCAGGTCTTCGTTGTCGCCGTACATGTCGGCTTTTTTGGTGTTTGGCGGGTGGGGTTAGCGGTGGGAGGGGAGGGGAGGGGAGGGGGAAGGGGACTGGACTGGACTGGACATACCGGTGTCCCAGTTTCGCTCTCCCAGCTCGTAGGCTTTGTCCAGGAAGGCCATCCTCTCGGCGTCGGGCTTGGGCGGGCCGTACGCCATGCTCAGTCCCATCAGGCCCAGGCCAAGCGCGGTGACCTGCGGGCCGTCCTTGCCAAGCTGGCGCGTGGGGAGAGACATTGTCCTGTGTCGTGGGTGTCTGGAATCGATTGGCTTCAACTGCTGAATTCGTCGTTAGGAGACCTTCAGTACGATTTGGCCGGTGTACAAAGGTGTCGGATGTGGTTGAAAGAAGCTCGTGGGTACTACATGCAAATCCAAAAAACCGACGGGATCGTCATCTTGATATACTTGCTCCCCCACCTCCCCGGGCTCCGGATCTTCGTGGCAGCCGCGCGAAATGCGGCGGAAGAGAAAAAGAAAGACGTGCGTGTTCTCACGCAACCAACCCACCTTACCCCGCCGTTGGAGAGGCAGTAGCGCGCGGAGATAGAGGGGTCTAGCGGACTAACTCCGTCTTCCCCGCCAGCCAAGAGCATCCAATGGAAAGACAGACTACCTACCTCTCACTTGAGATTCTACCTCCATCATCAACACCCCTCAGAGCTTGACTTGTCGTATCCCTACACGTTACGGGAACACGACACTGCAGATACCCGAACTTTGTACTCAAGTGACATTTATGCAATTGCTTTGCTCTGCCGTTCCTGCCTCCGCGGCGACGGGGGACCTTTGGTCCAACCTGTCTTGCTGCCGCCGCCCGCCGGAGCGGATGAAAACGCATATGTAAGTAGCTGTATCTATATACACACATGACCCGGCTTTTTGTTTTCTTTCCAGCTCCTTTCTCATCGTCTCTCTCAATCCTCGCGCCAGCCAGGCAGCGAGCCGAATATAACCCATATACCGGGTTTGTTTCTCTATACATTAAAAACAAAACACCAAGAGCGATAGATGGCCGGAGCAAGACAAAAAAGGAAGAAGATTACAAAAAAATAAGCGGTTGAAGAAGAAAATTTTCAAAAGACCACCGGGGATATCATCTTTCTGCAAAAATTTCAATCGCAAAACAAAGAGACAAAAAAGGTAGGGTCCATGCATGACTTTTGAGACCAATGTCGGATGGAGAGAGAAACAAAACAACCTCCCGCACCTTGACTTTTTTCATGAAAGATTGCAGGTTCAAATCGTGCCAAGGAGATCCCGCTGCGCGACCCATGCCATGGAGCTGTACAGAATAATGATATCATCCCGATGATTTGAGCTTCGGGTGGTAATAAAGAGGATGACGAGAAAAAAAAAAGGCAACAAACCTCCCGTGGAAAAAAAAAAACGCCAGTCAATGCAGTTACTTATGTACCGCGATCTATACGCATCTTCTGAAGGCGAGATGCATGTACGGGGTGAGGCGGTCGACAACGGTTTGACATGACTCTCAAAAAATGGGTCGAAAGGGTCGACGACAATGCCCTTGGAGTGGTCGCCCGGGCGTCTGTGTCGACTTTCTCACGACTCCAAGCTCGGCCAGCTTCTCCTCTCTTTCTGTTGCACCGACGGCGCTTCTTCCTTCCCACTCATCCTGCGCGTAACCTTCGCGATGCTCCCCCTCATCACCCTCGCCGCGCTCCACGGCGTGCCGAGCCTGGGCGTCCCCAACCGCGGCGTGCGCAGCCTCGTCGACCGCGGCGTCCCCGGCGCGCCCGACGTCGGGCTCAACGGCGGATCCAGCTCCGCCGCGCGCGCCTCGTCGATGGGATCGACCTGCGCGGTGACCTTGGGGACGAGGTTGCAGTACAGCGGCATGAGGGCGCCGCAGGCGGCCGCGGCGATCGGCACGACGAAGCCGTAATATCCGTACTGCCCGGCCTCGGCCTCGGCGGCCCCGTTCTCGACGGCGAAGTTGATGGGCGGGAAGATGGCGCCGCCCGCGATGCTGGCCGCGAGGAGGGCGCTCGCTTCCTTGGTGTGCCGGCCCATGCCCCGCAGCGTCTGCGCGAACAGGAGCGAGAAGATCGGCCCCTCGAAGAAGTAGACGAAGACGATGCTGACGGCCGCCGTGTTCCCCGTCTCGCGGAAACACGCGCCGCTGAATGCTAGCACGCCGGCGTAGCAGACCGTGAGGACGTAGCGGGGCTTGATCCAGATGGTTGCCAGGGCCGCGAGGAAACGTGAGACGGCGAAGGCGGTGTGCGAGTAGGCGAGGTGGTCGGTTGTGTCGATGTATGGCGCGACCTCTCCCATGTACGTGACAAAACTCGTAGAGATGGATTCCTGGAGGCCGACGTAGAAGAACACCGAAAGGACGCCCATTGCCAGGGTGATCCAGATGACACGAACATTGAAGAGGAGCGCATGGTTTGCGTCGTCGCCACGTTCCGCGCTGTCTTCGAGTTCTATGTCGGTAACCTCTGGGATGGGGACCCAATAGTATGCTACAGCGAGCATTACTACAAAGAGCGCGATGCCGAGATAGGTCCATTGCACGTCGATGAGTGAGTCGGCGTCAATCTTGAAAAGCACTTTCTTGGCCAGGAGTGGGGATAAGATGGTGCCAATCGCCTGCACTCCCTGAGAGATGTTGAGTCGTGTTTCGGCGTGTTTGGCAGGCCCGCAGAGCACAGTGAACGGGTTCGCTGCGATTTCCAGCGTGGACAAGCCAAGACCTACGATGAAGTTCGAGATGAGGAAGGCCGGGTAAGAGGTCAAGACGGCCGAGGGCCAGAACACCAGTGTACCGCAAGCATAGATACACAGACCGGACATGAAACACGCCTTGAATCCGTATTTCTTCAGCACTATGCGTCCGTAGGTGAGTGGCCCGACAAAGTAGCCAGCGAAATAGAGGCTGTGGATGCTGATGGTCTGGCCGCGGGACATGCCCGCTATAGCTTGAAACTGTGCGTTCAAGACATCCAAGAGACCGTATGCAAAACCCCATAGGAAAAACAGGATGGTGACCATTGTCACGGGAAAAACCGACTCAGCGTTGGTCAACTGGACCAAGCTCTTCTTCCTCTTCAGGTAAACGAAATCAAAGAAAGTGGGAGTGCGTGGGCGCGTGTGCCTTGTCGTGTTCGTCAAGGCAGTCGGCGTCCTCTCACATTCCGGCAATTCCCTCATGTCCGGGGTGGTCAGGAAATCCAGCATTCCCATGGGCTCCTCGGGTCCGGTGGATGCAGTTGCGGGTGGGATGGCTGGAGATTGATCAGTAGCAGATGGGATCCTCTGTGCATTGATCATTTCGTTGTCTGTATAAGTGTCCCGAAGGTGGGTGACGGAATGAACAGTCTCTCCGGCATCGCGAATGAATCTCGGAAGGAAGCGTGAGACGAGAGGTTTCAAGGCAGGCACGCATCCGCAGCAGATGCCAACATTGACCTCGATGCTGCTCCACAAGAAGGACAGCGAGGCGTACCAGGAGAAGTCGCTTTGTTCATAGTTCCTCGAGTCATCACTCTTGATGTGGTTTTGAATGTCTCGTAGACGCGTGGTAGCAGCCGACTGGAGGTAGACGATGCGGACGACATCGACGACAGCCACAAAAACACCAAAGCCAAAGGTGATGACGAGAATGGTCTTCTGCTTTTTCGGGAGCCGCATCGATGTCAGAATGGGCATAGGCAAGAACAGGGTAGCGAGATCGGTGATGATGTTCAGCGGCGCCGATGACAGGTAAAGGGTGACGATATCGGTGCAAGTGGCACCGGGTGGCACGGGGTTCACGAATGCGGCGCTAATCGGCCGGCACTGGACGATGTTGAGTACGGTGAGGGCGGCACCGCCCACATTGACGACCAAAAGGTCGGCGATGACGCCCCACCGGAAGGCACGGTGGCTCTTGGACAGGGTGAGGTAAAAGACCAAGATTGACGTTTTGGTGGCCATCAGGCAAGGGTTCTGCCGCGCGATCAGCTACAGTCGGCAGAAGTCGGGGCGCAGAGGCGAGCGCAGCGCCCGGGTTGGGCATTGGACGACCAGAGAGAGGCGGGAATCAGGGGAACGTACGTAAAGAACGGTGAAGACATATTCCAGTCTCCTGAGGGGCGGGTCCTGGGAATTGGGGATGTCGGCCTCGTGCATGCCCAGGCCATACTTGACGCCGTAGCAGATGGAAAAGGACAGGCCGAAGGCGAGCAACCAGGCCAAGGCCATGAAGTAGTCGTCCCAGCCGATCTTCTTGACAATGCCAATGCGCGAGGTCAAGCGGAAGCCGACGAAGACGGTGGAGCACACAATCATGGCAATGGACACGGTGAGGACGATGGGGCCGCGGGACTCGAAAGGGCCATCGCTGGTCGACATGCTGCTTGCTCAACCATTGTCCCAGGAGGGGAGCAGATGGAGGGTGGACTGGAGGTTGAGCAGGCGGGGGAGCAGGACGCGCGTGGACGAGGCCCTGCACGGCGCTCGAGGGGCGCGGGCCTTTTCTTTCTTCTTTTCCCTTTGCGGACAGTCGGCGGCGCAGCGCTAGCTCCCTCGCTGGTGCGGAGGCGGGGATGGCGGCCGGGCAGCTGGGTGTCGTGGGTGTCGAGGGTCGCCGGGGCGCGGGCTCAGTCGCGGGCAGCTGGTTTCGAATCGGGGTCTGGTGGAGGGCAGTGGCGCAACGTCTCGACTGGGGCGCCGACCGACCGGGACGGGTGGTTAAGCTTATTGCCGGGCGCGCGGAGAGACGGCGGGGAAGCAATGGGCGCACGCCTGGGTTCTGCGGATTCGGCGGGCGAGAGCCGGGATGGCGGGCCCGTTGGGGGAGGGAGAGGTAGGGTTGGGAGTGCGTGTGTGTGTGTGTGTCGCAGAGGTGGCAGAGTCGGCAGGTCAAAGAAAGATGAAGACCCTGTCGGCAGACCGCTCATCCCCCATAATCCGTACGTCGGCAGGCACTCGTACCAGGCAGCTGGGCCGCGGCCGGGGGGTGCTCTGGCCGTGTGGCTTGCGGTATAGAGTTTTTTCATGCCTGGGAGCTTGGCGCGCTTCGTCGGCCGCAACAAGCAATGTCTGACGTGTGCGGAGCCCAGCCGCTCGCATCACACAGCCGTCTGGGGGAGGCGCCCGGCAGTAGGTAGTCCAGCGGCCCAGCAGCCCAGCAGCGCGGCGGCCCAGCAGCGCAGCTCTGCTACCTAGTAGGCCCGGAGCTGCCTCGGGCGGCACACGCCATGACGATAGACTGCCGTTTCGTTTTGTCCCCGCCAGCCAAGCGGGATCGACGCCAGCAGCGGATCCGCTGGCCGCCTCAAAATGACAAAAGAAGGATTTTTTCGTCAGCAGCACGCAGCACGCAGCGAGCAGCTGGCTTGCGTCGGCAGGAGCCATTTCCGTCGCGCGCCGGCCAGCAACAAAGCTACCACGACGTGACGAGGGACACATCATCGGCCTGATGCGGCAATCTTGAGACACGGGCTCTGCCAGCTGCCCGCGTGCCCGTGTGCGCGCGCCGAGTCAGCCAGGGCGATGGCGCGGTTGTTGTTCGGCTCGGCTGCAGCTCTGCAATCATGGCAGCGTGTGCGTGACCTGGCGGAGGCGGGCACGGCGGGTTTAGGATGCAATGCCCAGACGTCGGATGCAGGCGTGGTTGGGTGGTGGGTGGCACACTAGCGGAGCCTCGCCTCGCCGCGCAGAGTCGGCCGGCCGGCCTCACTAGGTACGACTCGCGCCAAGAAACGGGAATAGCTGTCGACTGCCGGAGCCGTGGAGCCACGAGCGATCCTGATGCCAATGCTGCTTGTTGCGCGCACGGACGGAGCTTTCCTGCGCTGTGGCGCAAGCGCCTGCACGCCTGCACGCCTGCACCCTGTCTTCAGGCCAGTGCGCCGCCTGCCGGGCCTCGAGCCTCGAGCTCGCGCCACGTGCGGCTTGTGCTGCGCTTGTGCTGCCTGAGGCCGCCGCCGCAGCAGGGCACCCAAGCTTTCAAGCTTTCAAGCTTTCGCCCAAACCGCCGCACTGCACCTTAAACAGACCTGCACGCCATCTCACCACCTCGCCAGCCGCCCTGCTGCCCCTACCCCGCCCGGCACCTGCATCCCTCTGCGCGCCCTGCCGCCCTGCCGCCCGATGCCGGCACCGCCGTCGCCGCGAGGGATGGAGGATTGCAATAATCCCACAATCTGAGATACGCGTCTTCCCACCGTGACACGACTGCGCTATTAATCGAGCGCGGCTACCCCGTCTCCGTCACGCCTTCCCATTGGCTCCGCTTGCCGCCAAACCTCGGGCCCGGTCCGAGTTGCATCACCAGTCGCATGAAGGACCGGGGGGCAGGCGCAGGCGGGAGAAGTCGTCAGCCAAAACAACCTCGAAAGTGGAGAGAGAGAACGCGCGAGCTCGCCATCAAAAAGACTCGTCAACAATAATTGCAGAAAGGCAGCCCCGGCCTTCGGTCACCGCCACCGGCAACGTGTACACGTCCTCTCACCGACTCCTTTGCCATCTTTTCGCAATCCGGGGCTTGGCCGCCGGACATGTCAATCAAACGGTCAACGGGTCCCCCATGCCCACTTTCGCGCCACACCGCTCGACTATCTTTCGTCATGCCAGATCTCAATCGTGAAGAGGCGATTGCATGCCTAGAAAAAGGAGCGCATCGTCCGTCTGCGGGTCCGAGAGCGGTGACTCTGCTCTTGTCTCCCCCGCTCGCGGCGCGCTCCGAGCAGAACAGACGAATTGTAGACGTAGGTACGCGAGCCTGTCCTGCGGCAAACCGAGCGCGCGACTTGGCCCCCGCAGAAAGCGGTGCGGTGCGGTGCGGTGCGGTGCGGTGCGGTGCTGCCCGACCGACAATCTGCCATGATGCTTCCTTTGATCGCTTCCTGCTTGCTTGCCTTTAATTCCTTTCCATGTGTGAGAATGATGAAGCAGGACGCCAAAAACCGTCGATGATGTGTGGAGACGTACGCCGCCCGCCCTGCCCGCCCATTCTTGCCCCTGCTCTCTTCTCCCTCGTTGGTTGGCTGCGCTTTTTTTTATTTTTGGGGACGAGTACCGATGCGCGCGACCGGTCAAAGCCGCAGCCCAGCATTTCCACCGCATTCTTCATGCGTGTGGCGAGACCGGCCAACAAAACCAACGCGTGACTATCTCGCAAGCAGTAGTATCGTCCGCCTGCCGCCGCTCTCCGCTCTCCGCTCGCTCGCCCTCTGTTGAAGGAAGCACGCAATGCATATGCAATGCAATGCAACGCAACGTTATGTGCGCCAGATATTGTCCGTAAGGTGGGGTTTATTTGTGGCAGAAAATGTGATGGGGCCAAAACGTCCGCTGCAGTCAACGTCTGGGGGTCGACATACCTTCTTCAACTGCCCGCGTATATCAGAGGTAGATGCACAGAGTCAGTAGACGGCAAAACACGTTGGCAATTCAGATTTTGCATTTCGCTTCGAGCTTAGCTAGTCGTCGCCAACCTGTGATAAGAAGAAGACCATCCAGAATGCTCAAGTTTCCATCCCAGATGCCCGAAGACCGCCGCAGAGTGATCCACGTCCCCACCCAAAAGAAATCAAATCAAATGAAAAAGTGATGGGGAGAGCAAACCGAGCGGCCTATTCAAGAGCCTCCAATGAGTTGAGCAACTCGACAGCGGCCGAGTAACCCTTCTGGGTGAGTCTGCAATGAGGGTCAGCATGAGCCGCGTTCACCACCAAGAACAAAAGACATGGATGAGAGAGCGAGAGCGAGAGAGAAAAGACTCACGTCTTGTCCGACCCGTCAGACTCATAGCCCCGCTCAAACAGAAAGCTCGGCATCTCCTCCGCACACTCGTCATCAAACAAAGTGTTGAAGTCATCGCCATCATCATCATCGCCGTCGCCGACCCGCCGGCGACGCACGTCCCAATCGGAGTCGGAGTCAGGCGGGAAAGTGGCCGGGTCCCGGTACTGGAAGGGCGAGCCGAGGGTGCGGGGGATGGTGATGCTGCTAGTAGTGCTAAACAAAGCTTCATGGTTATCAAGACTTCCGCACGGATCGAGAGGGGAGAGGGAGAGAGAAAGAGGACGCCTACACATCGTCTTCGTCCTTGACGGTGATGTCGTAGCCCTTGGCCGGGGGCTTGCTCTCCTTCGTGGCGGCGGCGCGCTGCACGGCAGCCCTGGTCATCGTGCGACCGCGGCGCGCGGGCATCGACGTCGTCGTCGTCGTCGTCGTCCGGGCGCTCCTGGGACTGCTTCCGGCGGTGGCGGCGGCAGAGGCGGGGCTCGTCTGCTTGGCGGCGGCGCCCTTCTTCTTGTTGTTGGGCTTCGTCTTCTTCTTGGGGGAGGCGGCGTGGCCGTTGCCGGGGACGTATTCGTCGTCGCTGAAGCGCTCCTTCATGGGGCGCTTGGGGGTGGTGCGTTTCTTCTGGCTGCCGCCAGTGCCTGCGCCAGACGTCGCGGTCGCCGTGGCGATGTTGCCGAGCTGTTTCTTGACGACGGGGGCCCTGCTAGAGGAGGCCAGCGCGTGGAGGCTGTTGTTCAGGTCTGCGTCATTGTCGTCGGGGACGGCGCCGTTGCGGTCGGTCTTCTTGGTCCTGGCGGGCTTGCGGCGGACGCCGCCGACCTTGGCGGCGGGGGCGGCGGTCTTCTTGACGACCTTGGGCGGGACGGGTCTGTTGCGGAGATAGTCGAGCTCGTTGTAGACCTTGCCGCGGATGACCTCGTAGTCGACGCCGGGGATGGGCAGGTTGAGTTGCTGCTTGTAGCGCTTGTTCTTGGCTAGGTTCTTCGGGAAGAGCTTGACTCCCTCACAGATGCAGTAGATGTGGTCGTCGCGGTCCCACGGCCGGTCGCCCTGCTTGGGAGGCTTCCTGGTGCGCTCGATCGTCTGCGCGTCGTAGACGTGGGGCGTGAGCACCGTGGTGCGACGCGGGCCGAGGCCTTTGACGGCACGCTCGAGCTCGGCGTTCTCGTTCATCAGGTCGACGTTCTTCTGGGAGATGTACTCGGTGCAGATCTCGAGCATGTGGAACGTGACCGGCTGCCAGTGGAGGCAGTAGAACTCCCAGTTGCGCTCGGCGAGTCGGTCCGGGCGCGGGAGGAACATGAACTCCATGATGTATTCGAGAGGGTTCTCCTTGAAGAGCTGGATCGGCGGGTGCGGCGTCTTCAGCTTCATGTTCTCATGGATGAAGGCCTGCTCGTCGGCGAAGTCGATCACACGGATGGCTCCAGCGCCGCTTTCCTCATACTTGTCGTCGTCGTACATGAACGGAACCTCCGTCATCGGAGAGACCAGGTACTTTTCCATGGCCACGTCGTGGTAGCTCCAGTGAAGGAGCGGGGCGTGGGGATGAGGGTGGAGGGTGAAGAGGAAAAGTCGAAAGGCGGCGAGAGGCAGAAATTTATGCACTCTCTGTTGCCTTAGCACTAGTAAGGCAGCTGCAACTAATGAGGAAAGAGCGACCGGTGCTGTAGTCAGTCCGCTCTAGCCTTTGGCGCAAGTTACAATGGTGACATGCCTGGCGTCGGGTGCCTCATCACTTGTCAACTGGACGTGACTAGCAACCCTGAAAAACAGACAAAGCCGCCCGCTCGTATCACCTTACTTGAAATATCCCTCACAGCTCAGACTTGTCGAACCCAGGTGAACAGTCGAGAAGACAGACGCAATTGGAGAGGTAGGCCCAGATTGAGAATTCCGAGCATCAAACAAAAGATCGAGAGGATTCCATATGCTATTATTCCAACTATTTCTTTCGGGATGCTGAGATACCGACTGGAACATATAATATAAGATCGTTGGAAATGGCGCAAACTTCGAAAATTGGTCAGTAAAGGTCGTAGTATCAGGTAGGGATGACCGAGCTGGGCACACCTACTCGGACGAGAACTTCACCTCCGGTGCATCGGGGAAGCAATGCTTGTTCGTCCCCTGCTTGTAGTCATGCAATAAGCTATACCCATGTGTAAGGAGTTAAACTAAGCTTTCCAGCTTATCGCTTCGACTCGCTTCTATGTCAACCGATATAACCATTTTCCCCCAGGAATACTTGCACATCTTGCGCGCAGAATTAGAATGTGAATGAGAGGGGTATCCGTCTCTCCTTTTTCCGTCGATAATAATACATCCGACACTGCACAATTGAAGCCGCCTAAACTCCATCCCAATGCATCGTAAACATGTTCATACACTCAGCCCAACCCTCCGCTCCGCACCGCCCGACCTAAAAGCCCCAAAACCGCGACACCCTCGTCTTGACGCCCTCCCAGCTGTTCAGCTTCGGCCTGACGTCCAAGTAAAAGTTCAAGCTCTTCCCCTCCTTCCCCTCGTTCCTGCCCGAGTAAAAGTCAATGACGTACTCGACCGTCGTCCCGCAACGATCGATGACCCAATCGTGCCTGTCAAACGGCGTCTGGTATCCGAGGAACGAATTGAACCGCGCGCGGGGCGTCAACTTCTGGGAGTTGCCCGAGAAAGCCACGAGCTTAGGGCCGCCGCAACTGCACACACGTCAGCAAAAAACAAAAAGACAGAGAAAAAAATAAGGAGAAATAGAGCGAGACAAAAGTAGCAGCAACTCACCTCCCGCCCCCCCTCCCCTCCTCCCACGCCTTGATCTCCTTCCACGCCCGCTCGTTCACCGCGTTGTGGATCGGCACGATGCTCCGCATGTCCTCGACCCGCGGGTCGAACCTCTTGCGCCGCATCGCGTTGAAGAACATCTCCTCGCTCGGGTAGATCCAGTTCCCCGACGCGCCGTCCCTGCCCGTCTCGCCTTCATTGTTCGCCGGCACCTGGCCCGCCGGCGCCTGCCCCGCCGCAACTTGAGCGCGCTCCCCCGGAATAGCCCGCGGGATCGTCGACACCTCGCGGTCCTGTCGGAGGCCGAGATAGCCGAGGAGCGTGGAGCCGGCGGTTGTTGTTGTTTTGGACTGCGGCAGCGACGGCGGGAGCGATTGGTCGAGCTTGGACGAGTCGCAGCCGTCGGCTGCTGCGGCTGCGGCTGCGGCTGCGGGTTTGCGAAGGGCGGCGGTGGGAGCGGCCGAGGAGGGCGGACCTGGAGGAGGAGGATGAGGCACGGGCAGCGGCGGGGCGGCCTGGCCGGCGGCGGCGGCCTTTTGGGCCTGCTCCATCCACGCGGCGCGGGCGTGGTGGTCGACGGGGCAGGCGGTCGTCGTCGGCGGCTCTCCTCCTCCGTCGTTGGCGGCGGCGGTCATGGCTGTGAGTGTGTGGTGGGCGGATGGGGGTTTCGATGTGCGCGCGGAGGTTTCGCTTGGTGAGAAGGAGACGACCTGTGCGATTGGTGTGCCCGCCCGGCGGCGATGATGATGAGGATGATGGCGATTGAGGGGGATGGGAAAACAAAAAAAAGTTCGGTCGGCGATGATGCGATTAAAGTTCGGGGCCGCCAAGTGTTTGGTACCTAGGTCATGGCCCGCGGACGGACCCTTGTCTCCCGGTTGTCCGCGCACAGACGGGTTTGCTCCGTAAAGAATGGATTTGATTGGAGGATGTGGATTGTGGTCTCGGTGAGCGCAGAAAGAATTGAACCCACCTGCATCTATCTCACATGGATAATGGAGTCCTATCTGGATGCCTTCGTATCTTCTTGATACTCGCATCTATGTCGGCATACTTGCTTTAGCTGTCCACAAGAAGGACTGTCGTAGGTCGCTTTCTTTCGTAAGCCATTGTGGCAAGACAACCAATTTGCATTGGCTATCTTGGAGTTTTTTGCGTTTCTATAAGGAAGTCTAGGAATCTCCCCTGTGATACATGCAGTGAGGCCGGTTGGTCACCCTCCCCAGCCTGTAATATAAAAGGAAAGAAAACAAAAAGCAGACCCGCTGTCCATTAAACGCCATTTATCCCCGTGTCCCATGATCGTTTCCATGCCATGTTTGCCATTTTGAAGAATTTTGGTTGCTCCGTCTTGAATTCCCCGGGATGAAAGAAAAGCAAAAAGGAAAAAAGGAAAAGAAGAAGAAAAAACCGCCGGTCGTTAACTGATCGTTTGGAATCGTGCGGCATAAGGAAAAGAAGAAAGTCATTTTATACATCGTGCATACCACGCCATAGCGAGGTTCGGATTGGGTGACAACCGAGCACAGGCGCTCGGAAAACAAGTAAAAAAAAAGTGAAGCCGAGCCATAGAAGAGTGTGCTGAGAACCGTAGAGTGAAACCGAATGAAACAGGACGGTGGTGAAGGATGATCTCTCCGGGCATCAAGTGATGCAACGAGGTACCCGTGAGTTGAATCCAGGGATGGCCCTTGGATTCACCATTGGAGCTAGCCTTCAACCGCCACGTATGAGTCTTTGAGCAACTCCACCGATGTGGCCAGTAGCGAGCCGATATGGAAATTCAGCAATCGAGAAAGCTTCCAGACGAACATAAGATTCGCGTCGAATTCATCGGTCCTGGATGCTAGGTGCGCTCAGAACGCAACTGGATTTGGGATCTCCTCGTCGGATTGCTGGATTCCATCCTCGTCGAGCTTGTAGAGCGTGTTGTGGATCACCTGCACCTTACGATGAGGATGCTGGCCGGCACTACTGTGATCATCATCATCAGTAGCAACATCGTCACTGGACGAACTGTCGTCGCTCACCGAAAGCGGAGCCGGGGAGACAGAGGAGTCCACGTGGTTGCCAACGTTGCTCAAAGAGAACACGCTACCTAAAGTTGCAGTTAGTCTGTCTTTGACACAGGTTCAGGTAACTAGCCGCTTGGCTCACCTCCACTGCCTCCTCCGAGGCCATTCGTGGCGGGGTGGTTCGAGCCTTCACTGGCAACGCATTCGGCCTTGTCCTCTGGAATCGCGGCCATGCGAGCAGGACCAGCGACAGAGGGAGCCTCAGCGAACTCCATGACGTTGGTGTGCGAGCGCAGAGGATTCATGCGGTGAATGCCATTGTGTCCCGAGACCTCGATACCCTCAGGCATAGAAGTCTCCTTGGCGAAAGCAGGAAGTTCCTCGTTGGAACGGCTTCCGTGAACTTCCGGTGAGCTCTTGGATGCAGGAGCTGGGACGTCATGGTCAACGGTACGAGGGCTTTGAAGCAAATCCATACTTGAGATGGTGATGGCAGGTCCCGAGTTGATTGGAGGCAGTTCGCGCATCGTCATGCGTCCACCAGAGGGAGTCCTCATGGCTGAAGGGACCTCGTCGGAGCGCTCGGGACGCAGAGCAAGAGGCGAAGTCAGAACAGCTGCCGACCGGGATGCGCGCAAATTGCTCTGAGGAGCAGTTACACGAAGATCTACAGCTGTCTGAACTGTCGTGTTGCTGCGCTTGTGGCGACGTACCCTGAGTGTGTCCTTCATGCGTTCAAAGATCGAAGGCTTCTCAGAACGGCTCTGTTCCTGTTCCTGCTGCTGTTGCTGGGTATCGCCAGCATTCTCAAGACCACTATCCTTGTCGCTACTCGTAGACGGGAACTGGTCGTTCAGAGCGAGCCTGCTCAAGCGATGAGCCGAGGCTACCCATCCGCGAAGACCGATGCTCGCTGGAGGACGTGTGGGGAGAGCGGTCATCGGAGGGGAGCTGCGGCCCAAGCTCTGCTTGCCAACACTGGAGTTGTTCTTCCGTTCGGCTTCAGAGAGCCTCATAGTGTCATAAACGGGGCTGGCTGAGGGGGTGTCGCGCATGCTCCAGTTGTCGTTGGTTGTCGTCACCACTTGAGATTTAGGCTGGTCCTCAATGTCTTCAGGAAGCTGGGGTTTCGTATTGACGAGATCAGGAGCGCCCCAGGTGCGGGTATCTTCACCTGCGTTTGGGCGGCGAGGCGGAGTTGACATGGCTCTGGGTCCCTGGCGTGCGTCAAAGGGAGCGCCAATTGACATCTTCTCGGCCGGCTTCGGCGGGGTCGTCGCGGCTTTGAACGGCAAAGAACGCTTCAAGTTGGTTGTCTTCTCGCCGAGGATTCCGCTGAATTTGTTCAAGAGACTGGTGGAGCTGGTGTTGCGCGGTTCCAGCTGGTCAGGATCTCCAGGGTTCGGACTCCTTTCCACGGTAGAGGCGGTGGGACTGTCCATTTTCTGAGCTTGCCTGGCTGCGCGTCTATTTCTGAAGCTGAACTTTTGGCGCGGCGCAACAGGAGAAGTGTCAGTGAAAGCGTCGGTGAGGGTGGCGTCAGTCAGGTCGGACGCAGGGTGCTGAAGCGATGAAGTGTTTGTTGTAAGGGTGTCGGAGTGATCAGATAATGATTGCTGATCAGTGGGGTTCCCAGCGGAGCTGTTGGTAGCGAAAGGCCTTGAAGATCGGTAGTGGTCGGTCGGAAGTTCGTCAATGCCGCTCACTCGTTGAGAAGCGCGTTGACAGGTCACCGGACTCAGTTCGGGTGAGGATGGCGTGGACCAGAGGTGGCTTAAAGCTGCGGGGGCGCGACGAGACAGAGGCGTGCCTGCGGGCTCAAAAGAGGACGACAGGCGATGGATGATGGCTCCGTCAGCACAGGCGGAAGTTGAACGAGCGTGTCGCGCTGTCGAGCGCGGCGCGGATGCAGAAGTGAGCTCGGGCGCGCGGCCAAGGTGAGTCGACAACGGCTGAAGTGAACGGCGGGCACGATGCTGCGTCGCAGGCGGCTCTCGTGAAGACAGGCGCGATTCTGGATGGCGGGGCAGATCAGGGTTGGCCAGGGGTCGCGAGAGATCGGCAGGCCGCGGATCGTCGGAGGGTGTAGAGGAAACGAAGGTGGGTTGCGGAGGCGGGCGTTTCTGCAGCTTCGAGTGGCCTGGATTGCTGTGAGCGAGGCTGGGCCGTCATGTTCTCTGGATGCTGGCACGCACTGTGAGCCTCATGCTCGTCGCGGAAGACACTGAACGGCAGCGTGCCGCGCCCCCGCTTCCCGTAGGTGGCCATGCTCTTGACTGACGCGGACCGAGAGAAGGACGAGGCAAAGACGGGGGCGAGGTGCAGATGCAGGGCGGGCAGGACGCGGTCGAGCGGCTTGACTTTGGGACTGGGGTCGCGCGTGGGAGCGGCGCCCACGCGGGGCAGGCGCGGATGCCATCGAGAATGGTAGTTGTTCTGGCCCATGGCTCCTCCTCCAGCTGCGCTCAGCCCTGCGGCGGCGGCGCGGGAGGGGCCTGTGTTCCGTCTTATACAGCCCCATCGCGGTGGGCTCACGGGGGCGCTCCTACCAATGGCTACGTGTCGGTCGCTCCACTTTGCCGCTCCTGTCTGGAGCGCCTCACCGCCGAATGCCCGCGAATCCCCCGCGTCCCTCAGGCTTCCCGCAACAAAAATAGACCACATGGAAACATCTGCCACATCCGCCACAGGATGCCCATCGCAGCAGTGCCTGCCGACGCCGGCAGTCTGGAGCCGCTGCGAGCATTTGGGAGCGGGCGCAACCCGGCGGGCGCAGGCCGGCGACGGGGAATGGAGCAGAGCTGGCGGCAAGACACCCGGGGCTCCCTCCAGCGGGAGAGCAGCGCCGTGGTGTTGAGGAGTGCAGTCGGAGAGTAGCGCTCGGGGCAATTACTCCGCGCGCGCTGTGATTGGCGGGCTGGCTGCAGCGTCTTCTCAGCACAGCGGCACGGCGGGCAGCTGAAGCCACTATGCTGACGTAAATGCAGATTCAGACGACCCTTCCTCATGAGTAGTCGGAGAAAGCATCCGGGTGCAGATGCAAGCATGGAAAGTGTACAAGTGCAGTTCACATATAGGATTCCGCTACCTATATAGGTGGGTTAATTTCCTTCGTCGCCTACTGCGTCATGTAGCGTTTTGCGACGTCACGGTTTCCTTGCGCAAGCGTGCAGACAGAAACGTAGGTGGTAACGACTCTTCCTCAGGAGTAGTCGAAGACAGTATCGGGTGCAGATGCGAGTACTATTAGTTCTAGACAAATGCATCCAAATATAGGGTGTCGCTGTCCACGGTTTGCTTAGGGGCGCAGGCAGTTCGGTCGGCGATTACACCACAGCCCGCTCTAGGTAGCTCTCGGCCGGCCCGGCTGTGTCGTCCACTCAGCGGTGCGCCATTCCGGACACCGCTTTCACGGCCTGCGCGCTGATTCGCACTCTGCCCCGTCCTCGGTCCTTCCGTTTCCATTGTCGGCCGCAGCGCCACCCTGCGTTCAGACCCTTCTCGTCTCGACCCGCCCTTCCCGAGCCTCCTCTATAATTTAACCCGACACCCGACTCAACCTCCACCTACTACCCCTCCGCTGCTTCTTCTCTCCATTCCACCCCTTTATACAGCTCGCCATGTCTTTCTCCTCGCTCGTCTCCGATCTGACCTACCGCGACAACGGCGACGATCGCCGCTCGCAGGTTTCGCGCGCCCGCTCCTACGCCAGCACCGCTGCCACCAGCGTCAGCATCTCCGGCGACATCAAGAGCCAGCTCCATGGCGGCTATTGCCACCCTCTTGCGCGCTCATGGCAGGCCGAGCGCCAGTTGACCAAGGTGCGCTCGCCGCCCATCTCTCGCTGTCTGCCAGCAATTCCTAACCGCGCCGCAGTCAATGCTCATCTACCCGCTCTTCGTCTCCGACCAGCCCGACGAGGAAGTCCTGATCCCCTCGCTCCCCAACCAGTATCGCCGTGGAATCAACCGCCTCGTACCCTTCCTCACTCCTCTCGTTCGCAACGGCCTGCAGTCCGTCATTCTCTTCGGCGTTCCCATGGCCCCCGGCGCCAAAGACGCTCTCGGAACCGCCGCCGACGATCCCGACGGTCCCGTTATCCAGTCCATTCGCCTGCTCCGCAAGGCCTTCCCGAACCTATTCATTACCGCCGACGTCTGCCTCTGCGAGTACACATCACACGGACACTGCGGTATTCTGCGCGATGACGGCAGCCTGAACAATGCGCTCTCGGTGGACCGAATTAGCGATGTCGCCATGGCCTATGCCGACGCTGGCGCACACTGTGTCGCTCCCTCAGACATGAACGATGGCCGTATCCGCGCCATCAAACTCAAGCTGATCGAGGCCGGTATCGCGCACCAGGTTGTCCTCATGTCCTACTCCGCCAAGTTCTCCGGTTGCCTGTACGGTCCGTTCCGCGACGCTGCCGGATCCGTCCCTTCTTTTGGCGATAGGCGGTGTTACCAGCTTCCTCCTGGCGGCCGTGGCCTTGCACGACGTGCCATTGTCCGCGACATCAACGAGGGCGCTGACATCATCATGGTCAAGCCCGCTTCGCAGTATCTGGACATCATCTCCGACGCCAAGGAAATCGGCAAGGACCTTCCTGTTGCCGCATACCAGGTCTCTGGCGAGTATGCAATGATCCACGCAGGCGCGAAGGCGGGCGTTTTCGACCTGAAGACCATGGCCTTCGAGGCTACACAAGGCATTCTTCGCGCCGGCGCGACCATCGTTGTCAGCTACTTCACTCCGGAGTTCCTGGACTGGCTCAGCAACTAAGTTCTCTCATCATATTCTTGCACAGATTCATCTCGGATATCCCCCTAAGGCTCCCTCACAACATTCTCGGCGACTGTTAGACGCTTCTTTAGGTGTTAAATGGGTATGCGGCGTTTTGGGAAAGTAATTGGTCTTTGGGATTCCCACTTGTAGCATTTCTGGTTGTTTTCTAAACTGTGGATGGATCAAAAATAAGGTTCCAGGATGAATTGGAGCTGTCCGGACGTGACTACTGTCTTGATATAGCGAATGATATCCACATTGAAACTTCATCTATTTCCCCGCTGTCTAAGTCGTCAAAGTGTCCAGCTGAGCTAGTTAAGACCGTAGTCGAGGGCAGTGCCCACAACCGTCGCCATGAACAGCTTGTTTAACCAATACGTCTCGGCACGTGCATCATCGTTAGGCCTTCAATCGTGGACCTTCTTCACTCCGACCAGCGAGCTGTACAGCATAATGAACGGGTTTTCTGATGCTCTTCAACTTCGAATTGTGGGGTGGAGCATCATTTTCATGAAATGTTCAGCGTTTTTGGAGGATTTTCATGAGGGTCGGATACTATAATGTTGCCTTGTTGGGGGCACAAAGAGCGGCAGACACAGTATGCCATTTTTGGTGTTCGGCTCTAAAGTCACCGCTCGAAAGGCCAGGGACTAATGTCCGATACCATGCGCAGAGCCACGGTGGTGTTGAGGGTCAGAACATCCGCTACAAGCGGTGCACCTATTAAGGACAGCTCACGAAGACTATGCACGAGGCTAAACAGAGAAAGGTTTACAGGTCGTGCGTGGCCGGTTGTGCACCTGAGCATGTATTGATCGTCCTAGGGACTGGCACATATCTCTCAATTTTAAAAGCTCACCACCAGGGCTCGCGATTGATCTGATTGACAAGCGCAATCGGGGTCCGAGGGTCCGATTGCAATCCAGGAGGGGTCTTCAGGTTAATCAATCAATCCAAGCGCAAGCGGCCTGCTTGCAATCGGACATTTAAGCCCGCCTGCAAGCCGATTGATTGATAGATTGACCATCCGCTTGCGCTTGCTGCGAGCCCTGCTCACCACTCAGTACATCTGCTTTCCGCGATGGCGAGTAAAGCACTAAAACGCCAGCTACTCGCTTCTTTTTCGTTATGTGCGTCATGTTGCAGAGGACTGACACCTGAGATGTGTTTGCCGCACCTTCAAAAAAGATCCTCCTACGTTAAATGGTCACAGGAATTCTCATTACCCCTGCGAGGTGATGCTGTTTGCTTGTATAATCCAGAGAGTATGGGCGCACTTAGCTCATCTTGTCGTCCATCTTTCAAGGCGCTTGGTTCTCCCTGTAAACAACTCAATAACGGAAACGACCAAAATATAAGTCAGTGCCAATTCCCATCCCGGTAATCACAGTTTCATGAGAGAGCGTACCGAGTTCACGGATATCTGGCCTAAAGACACCTTCGGGAGAGCCTTGACATCTTGTACGTTAGCCACTAAGGGTACGACATGAGCATGGCGGTATCCTTGTAACTGCATTGATGCTGTGACAGCCGATGTCAAGGTTGCCGGCCAGAGCTTCGAAGGCTGGTACTGATCAGGTCAGGTTTGGAAAGGTCTGATATTGTGCTCAGATACCTTTTTACTCTATGAATAAGGCGTCTTAAAGTGAAAGGTTGATATTCAAGTGCCTTTTCAACGTAGAACCTAATCTACGATTTTATTCTCGGCGGTCTTGCATGGACAAGTAATAAAAGTAAAGTGTAGATAAGTCGTACCTTCTTCCATCTAGCTAGGTGTTACTTAGATTCGATGTTTCTAGAGGATGACTCCATGTACTACTCCTAAATTTTAGTAAAGGGTACTCGTTGTTAGTTAGATATATATACGAATGCAACTTCTAAGGCAAGACCACCACATTTTGTAGTCTTAGCGCACCTACACTTATAAAGTATACAGGCTTACATATCCTACATTTACCATAACAGCCTCCTCCTCTACATAGCGGGAGACGTTATTTTTGAGCGAGGAAAGAAATCCAATAGTAATAAGATGTATACTTACCGCCGACAACCAGCTTTCTTCTTTGGGAGAGGTGTCTCAGTAGAGATATTTGCAAAGAAAATGGGCCTGATTTAATTGCATGATGCTGCAGCCAATATAAATCGAGTAGAGCTTCGGGTCCCGGCGTACGCGCAAATTCTTGCTAGTAAAAGTCAAACTTGCATATCCGCCACTTCTGAATGAGTATTTAGAATAGAATCCTAAAACGAGTATGCAAAAATAAATCTGCCGACATCTACTTGGAACGCTTCGACCTTTCCCAGACTTGGAAGAGATGTCCAATTTTGTCTTTACATAGTGTTGAGCACTGCTTGTTTTCTACATGCAGCTTCATGGAAAACCACCGAACATGTTCACGGGGGGAAGGGGTGTGAAGAAATCCAGTGTCAACCTCATGCAGTTCGAGGACTGCGGACAGTTGGTTCCTGACCTCTTTGGCAAAATTCGTGATCTCCGTACCGTTTTTCCTCCTGGCTTCGAGATTTACCTTTATCGTTCTCCAGTAGGACTGCTGGTCGGTGTGGCTAGGTCGCGGCTCGGAGGAGCTATAGTGGCGTCAAATTCAATGCCACACTGGCCTGTAAAGTCAAATAGAATGTCTCTCCCATATCGTGTCGGACTATGGTCCTTCGCTTTCTCTTCGTGTTGAGTTTCTTTCGCAAGGATGCTCAAATAGCGGTTTGCTTGGACATGTACAGCGTAAGTATGTACAACAAAAGGAATCTCTACCTTCACCTTCGCCCGCCTGTGCTGGTCATTCCCCAAGTGTTTCGGTACACAAGTGGGCAGCAGCCGTACGATATTTAATTTCGCCTACTAATACATTGAGATGACGACGCCGGCATCAGCGGCAGTGAGAAACGGCATCTTCGGCAGCAATCTTGCGATATGCTTCCCGTCTGTTGTGATGAGCGTGATTGACGGGGCAATGCAGTCAGTCTGTTGGAGGAAGTTGAAGGGCGCGACGAGGTGCGGAAATAATTTCCAAATTCTCTTTTCCTTGCAACCACAGGGACCCAAAGCTCAGTCGGTTCCCAAAGCGGTACGTTTCCTCCCTGCGAGCTGCTCCAATGGGGAAGCTCGCTCCCCTACCGTCCTTCGGGCCATGTCATCGGGAAACAGAACGCGACACTCGCACCACCTAAACCAACCAACCAGCCCGCGGCTTGCACCGGTGATCCCTGCGAGGTAATGAAATACGTATTTCCCCACGGGGTGATCGGACACAAATAGCGTCACGACGACGCATCGTGTCGCGCAATCAACAAGGATTCGATGTCGGAAAACAAATCCACAATCCGTTTCCGATTTTTAACATCCCACGCTAGCTAGCTAGCTAAACGGTTGAACGGAAGAACGGTAGGTGTAGTTGGGGCTGTGCTTGTTGGTTACGCCCGTTGGTTGGCAACCGCATTACTACTGTTCCTCCGACCGTGTGTGTTGCTCTTAATCCCGTCCGAACAACGTAATCACGTTCTCGACGCTCGTACCGCTTACTCCATCCGGATTCGCGTCTTCTGGAAACCATAGTTTGCCGGTCAACACGGGCGTCTGTGAGAGCGGACTACTTTACTTATCTGCTACCTACTCTAAATCCACTAAGCATCCTTCCTACTCGATAGACCCAAAGGTTAGCGCATACGCGAAACGAGTGATAACGAGCAGTCATGACCACATGATCCGGTTGTCCGCTGGCGGGTAGACGGGTGTTCAAGGATCTCTCGAATGCTATTTTGTGCACTGACCTCCGTGTTCCCCTCATTTCGTGGGCATGGGCCACCGGCCCTGCAGAACCGTGGCGTCTCTGGCCGACTCGCTCGCAAGCTGTGCTGAAGACGGAGCATCTCCCCATCAGAATGGCTGCTCGTGCGAAAGACGAAAGACGCAATTGGGTACAAGTAGTTCGAGGGGTATGAAATGACGTGATATTTGATGGCAACCGTAAACTACCTGCGGGGCTAACATCCAACGAAGGACTGGGTATCTGGCGACTCTAGCCTTTGTGTCCTCCGACCAATGCCAATCTCTATCCCTTCCATCCACCCGGCTTCCATTCCTCCAGGTCTCCCACGCGCGAATCAGCGCACGCCGCGATGCCTTTCGGCGACCTCCTCCCCACGGCAGTAGCGCCCCGCTTTGATGCTCATCTAAAACCCACGTCGAACCATGTGTTTTCATAACACTATTGGGTCATAGCCGTCGCCATAATGCATGTCTTCGAATTTGTTTTGGCTTTTGATTGTTTTTTGTGTTTGGGTGTGGTGTGCTTGTCGTTCACGCGACGAGGCTGGCACCGCCGGACTCGATGGCCTCGATCTCGGCCGCGCTCCAGCTCAGGCGGCCGAAGCGGGGAGGGAGCTCGCTGCGGTCAAAGTACTCGCCCTTGCCCGGGTTGACGGAGCCGAGGGCAGAGCCAGGCTGGCTGCCAATGGAGCCGCTGGAGAAGGTGCGCTTGTTGAGGGGGCCGTGCTGCTGAGCCTTCTGGCGGTAGCTGGCAAAGGACTCAGGCAGGGATTGCGAGGGAGCGGCCGGGTGAGCCCGGGGAGTGTGGTCGATGTCTGTTGGCATGTGGGGTCAGTTACTGGTCATGCCGCGAAAATCGCATAGCTCTCTTCCGAAGAGCATGTGAAAGCGCAGGCGAGTGGAAAACTTACTGGCCGGGGGGTTGTGCTTGCCGAGGAAGCGAATCATCGGCTGGCGCTGAGCAAGGCGGCGGGCGGTGACGGAGAACATTTTGGCGGGAGGACGAGTTGTGCAGTTGCTCGGGAAGGCAGTGGTGTGGGAGAGACAGCAAAAGTAAGGTCGGAGGAGTGCGCGAGAGCTTGATAAAGTATCGGAGCGGAACGGCTAAAGTCGGCCGGAGCTAGCAGTTGCGGGTGCAGGTGGGTCCGTGAGAGAGCTTGGAGGCGTTCGGCGCTGGCGCTGCTGATCGCAGGATGAAGAGCTGGCGGAGGAGGCCGGGTCGAGGGAGGTGGATGGAGAAGAGATTCAAGGCGGGCAAGCGCAGGTTCAAATGTTGCTCGAGGCAGGCGCGTCACCGCGGAGTGGGCTGCGGTTTTCGGAGTGCGGAAACGAAGACGCGAGCGCGGCAACGGTCTCGGAAACGCACCAGACGCAGGATAGGCTGCCGTCTGAGGTAAGGTAAGCGAGGCCGGCGGCCGGAGACAACAAAAAGGTGGACTGACAATTGTTCGAGCGGAGTCCGGCGCAGCGGGCGGAGGTACGAGCGGGCCCGGGGATCGTGCCCTTGCGGGCGGATGTCGCCATCGCAGTCGCATGCCGTGTTTGGTGCGCGCCTGGACTGCGTTTCTAAGCAGGCGCGGCGCTGTTGGCCATTGTTGCCCTCGATTTTTTGTGTCATCCGGGGCGTTATCTCGCGCGGTCGGACCACTCTCCCCACACCATCGCGACTCGCGCCTGCCCACTGGCGTCAACCGCGCCCGCCCGATCGCCGCATGCCTGCCACGCCACAGCAGAACCAGCGTCCTACCCCGCCATGCCGCACGAATTGCTCCTGTTCGCCCAGCTGCCCAATTCCCGCCTCGAGCAGCTGCTCAACATCGTCGCCGGAATCGCCGGCGCCCAGCCGCAGCGCGTCATTGAGCGCCATGTGGTATACCGACCCCAGCGCGACCCGGTGCAGCGCCAGTACGCCGTTGGCGCCAGCCAGAATGTGCAGACCACCCAGCGCGCAACCTCGCGCGAGCAGCTGTCCAAGGACATGTTCTACTGGCAGACGGTGAAGGAGCTGGACGAGGCCGAGTTTGGCTCTGCGCACGCAGACAGTGCCCCAAAGGAGAAGGCGAATCCCGACGCCGAACGCAAGGGCTGGGCTATTCAGTTTCAGGACATCCCAGAGGCTGGCCAGAGACCCGTTACCACGCGATGGGTTCAGACAACAGACCTCGTCGCTGGCAATCCCCACACACACATGAAAGCAACCATGTACAAGTACGGAAATGCCCTCCACATTCCTGGTCCGAGCTGGGCTGACGTACCACAGCTACGTGTCTGAGTACATTGACGAAGGCTACCAGTTCGTTCACAAGAACGCGACCATCCTCCTGCACCGTATCCTCTGTTTTCCCAGTCCTGAGGCAGCGCGCGACTCCCCTCTCGAAAGCCTCCCTCCGTTCAAAGACCTTCAGCCGCTCGACAAGAGCAGCGCATATGTTGTGCAGGTGTCGATCAAGATCCAGGACAACTATAAGCCAGAGACGCGAGAGAAGGCCCAGGCGGAGCTCCTTGCGCTGAAAGGAACGTTGAAGGGCGTCATCGATCTGGAGCCGGCGGAAAGGCTCGCTCTGGATACTCGCGTCAAGCCTAGACCGGGTTGAGAGTGCGCAAGGCGAACGCCCGAAGCATTAGGAGAAAAGACGACCGTAGTGTGATGAGATTATTAGACTGTCTGAGGTGGAGCTCCACCCGGAGATGGGCATTGATGAAGTGCCAGCGTAATGTCCACCCGCCCTTCGCAGTGATAGGCGCCAGGGAAGAGTAAGCCGAGCTGGCTCTGTACCAGAGTCCTACCTTCCGGAGCGAAAGAGCGAAGCTATGGTAAAAGATGAGGTATTCTAGACCTTGCGGAGGACCAGCCCGGTGAAGCTATAGCTTGCATAGCATGAATGCTCGTGAAGAAATTAATGAAATGCCGAAGCGAAGTGCAGACCAACGGTTCACGTCATACTGTTTAGGGCTCTAGTGGAAATTTCAAGTGACATACGTCATCTTGGTGGGCGTAGTGGTGAGCTCCAGCTTCGTGGTGAAGCGAAGGCGCGAGCACACGGCTCTCGCGTCTCACCTCCGACAATTCACCGCAAGACTCATAGGTAGCCTCTCCAGACAGGACAGGCGTGGATCTCGCCACTGTGGGATGAACGCAGCGAGATTCTCGCCCGCACTGCATGTCCAGCGATTAGGCAACACGGTGCACGTGCTACCGCGATTCCGCGTTCGCGCTTGTCACGTCGGCCTTCCAACACCACGACGCACCTCTAGACCCACATTCCACCACACATCTCGAGCCGCTCACCCCATCGCTAACATGAGTGATCAGGCGCCTCCTCTCAAGCGGGTGCGCACGGAAGACGGGCCCGTCTCTCCTCCCGCGGTGAAACGGAGGCAGCCGTCCGCCACCACAAGTACGTCCCGATTTAGAACGGCTGGGGTCAAGGGTGATGGACTGACACGAGCAACGCAGACAAGGCCGTGGCGGACTTCTTCAAGCCATCTTCGCAGAAGCCGAAGCCTGCGGAAAAGATATCGTGGGCCGTCGTCAAGGACAGCCTCCTGGTCGGGAAGCACCAAGCCGCCGACGCAATCCCAGCCACTGAGGCGGCCCAGCCTCGCAAGATTGCTATTTTTGACTTTGTATGTACGCACGCCAACACGTTTCAGCCATGGATTTGTGGATTGCTTGGAGGTGAGCGCCAGGCTGACCCTTGCTCTCCTCACTGCAGGACTCGACCCTCATCAAGACCGCTTCCGGCAACAAGTTTGCCCGCAATCCCGCAGACTGGCAGTGGTGGCATGCAAGTGTGCCCACTACACTGCGGAGGCTGTACGACCAAGGGTACGTATGCGCGCCATTGTCTCAGCTGACGAACGCTCCATATGTTTTCATTTACCCCTCTCTTTGTGCCACCACCAGCTGAAGCTAACGTACTTTGATCATTGCGAATATGCAGCTACCTTATCGCCATCGTGAGCAACCAGAGCGGCATTTCTCTGAAAAGCAACGGCTCCAAGGCTCCCAAGGCCGATCTGAAGAGGCTGTCCGACTTCAAGGCCAAAGCAACCACCATCTTGGCCCAGCTGGACCTGTCCATAAGCATCTATGCAGCCACCGCCAAGGATGAATTCCGCAAGCCCCGCCCCGGCATGTGGCGCCAGCTGCTGCATGACAATGGCCTGGAAAGTGCGCCTGGGGCCGTCGATCTGGAGCAATCTCTGTTCGTTGGAGATGCAGCCGGCCGATCTGGCGGCACTACCAAGGACTTCTCCTGTTCCGACAGGTCTGTACGCCTCGAGAAACGGCCTTGCATTTGCTGCTGCAGACAATCCACTAACCTGAGTGGTGGCAATAGAAACTTCGCAGCCAACGTAGGGATTCCATTCCACACGCCAGAGGAGTATTTCCTGGGCGAAGAGCCGAAGCCCTTCGTTCGAGACTTCGACCCGGCCGAGGTTCTGAACGACGTGGCTGGAGCCGCAACTGATGCCGGTAAGCTCTCCACTGTTACTTGTTGCTTTTTTTTTCCCCCCCGGCCCACCGGTACGCAGTGGAGCAGAGAAGCAGGTCTCACCAAAGTGCGCATCTAGTGCCGCTCCTCTTTACCAAGAAGAACCCCGTCGACATCGTGATCCTTTGCGGCAGCCCAGGCGCGGGCAAGTCGACGTTTTACTGGAAGCATCTGAAACCCCTTGGCTACGAGCGAATCAACCAGGATATCCTGAAAACGGTACGAGCTGTTGTGTTCCCTTACGCCCGTCTTCCACCACGTATGCCGCATATAAGCTTGATGGGGGCCGCCGCACGTTCTGTACAACCTAATTCTGCAGAGAGCGGATAACTGCAAGATGCAAGCGCGGCACACATGTACCTCTGACTGACAGCTTTGCATTCAGCGTGACAAGTGTCTGAAAGCCGCAGCCGAGAACCTTGAGAAGGGGGTGCCCGTGGCCATAGGTGAGTGAGACTGTTCTCGCCGAGAAAGTGAGCAGCATCGGGGAAGACGGCAACGAATGCAGACGCAAAGGAGAACGCAGACTAACCTTTGGCGCTCAACCGGTCAGACAACACGAATGCAGACCCAGACACACGTGCCCACTGGGTCAGACTGGCAGAGAAGCACAATGTGCCGATCAGATGCGTTTTGTTCACAGCAACGGCGAAGCTGTGCGAGCACAACGATGCCGTCAGGGCGATGAGTGGGGAAGTAAGTTCGGGCCATCCATTCTCACTCCTCCATTCCCTGTTACCAGGGCAGCCAGTCCATCCTACTTTCCTTCTGTTGTCAGACCATCCCGTGAGGCGTCTCTTGTACTACAATCTGCTTTCCTGCATAGCCGTTGCAGCTGGCTGGTACAAACCCGGTTCCCCGTCATTCCCGGGGGCCATGATCCACGGTATCAGACACCCAGGATCTCAGCGCCTCGCGGCGGCTGTGCACATGACACCAACGCCCTGCCGTTCCAGCCAAGTCTCAATCCTACTTGCCACCGACCTTGCCCACCAATGGCTCTGTGTCATGAAGGCGATTCCGAATACGGCAAAAGCTGACAAGTATTCGCGCAGACGATGAATCCCGAGTCCCGTGCCCTGCTGCCAAAGATCGCTTTCACCTCATTCGCATCTCGTTATCGCGTGCCCCAGCTCAAAGAGGGGCTTCAAGACATTACGAAGGTCGACTTCATGGTAAGCGTATTCTGTGTTGTACACGCTATTTCCGGCATTTGCCTTCTGTTTTGATTCGTATGCTTGCTCCCGCATACACGACCTTTCTTCGGTTCGCCACAATCAAGCCATTATAGTTCTCCGCGAAATATTTACCACATCGATTTCTCCTTCAAGATAGGGCGCACCAAGCATCAAGTATCACAGCCGGTGTATTCAGCTAACATTCTTCCACAACAACAGTTCGAAGGCAACGAAGAGGACCGCAAGGTCTGGGGCGAATACTGGATTTGAGTCAAAAACTGCGCCACCACGACTCTTTGGCCATCACCAGACCACTATACGTTTCTTTAATATAGCATCGGCAAGATCGTGGTCGGGGGCCCGGAGCGGCTGACCCAGGAACCTGGAATCGCGACGGCCGATCCCCATCGGAGTCCCCTCCCCCCCTGCGATGGGGCGCGTTTTGAAACTGACGATCAAGGCCTCCTGCTTTTCTATGTACCGTATACATACCCTGCGCCTTTTGAGGTTGCCCTGCTTGGGTTCAAGCGGTCGCGCGTGTTACAGCGTGCTTTTCCCTGATCCTTTTCCCTAGAACAGGGGAGGAGGGCGATGATCATATTGGTGGATTGGCTGGGGGGTTAGTAGTGGTTCGAGACCTACCCACTTTGCACTTCACATCCTACACCATCGGTGCGCGATGGTGCAATCGAGAGTAGGGCAAGGACAAACGAAAAGATTGCTCCTTCCCTTAGCATGTCTTCGGCGTATAGGAATAGAGAAAGAAAAAAAACGACAGGCACACGAGCAACATCATCTTACAGAGAGCGAGTGAGGGTTCAATCAACTCTGGTTGGTCAGTCGGGAGAGTGTTCATTTATTGGTTCATCTATTGGAAAAGCACGTGAAAGGGCTTTTCCTTCTGCCCCGACAAAGAGGAAGGTCTGCCGAATCAAATGAGCAGCACCGCCCACAACGACCAGGTTCTCGCTTGGCGGAAGAAGGCAGCAGGATGGCGTGGTGGGTCCCAATAGCTCCTCCTCACTCTACTCTTTCGAGAAAGGAAAAATCAGAAGCCTCTTCTGGCAAGCGTCTACCTATGTATGTACTGACCGGTCCCTCTTTTTTTTTTTTTTTTACTTTCTCTCTCTCTCTCTCTCTCCATCTATTTTTGGCATGCCGCCTGCCTATCCTTTTCGTTGTTGTTTGTTGTTCCCTTTTTTTTTTTCTTTTTCCCGCCTCCTTCCTTTCCATTGGTCGGTTTTTGGGGATGGTGGAGTGGTGGGCCTCGTTTTGCCCTGGACGGGACGGGAGGAGCGGATGCAACCGGGTCGGGTTTCCCTCGCTCCTCTCTCCCCCTTGCGAGGGTGGGAGGACAGGGAGTGGTTATTATTGTGTCGGGGATTTAGCAGCTATGTATCATCGCGAGCTCGGAGGAGTACTGCTCTCGTTCTCTGAATTTTCTTTAATTTCCTTTCCCCTCTTTGCTGAGGCCGAGTCCCCGACGTGTGGAGCTGCGACAGCATCGCGAGCATGCTTTGCTCATTATTATTAATGGCCAAGCCGGCTGCTTTTCAGCGTTGTTGGTTGGTTGGTTGTTGCTTTTTCTCGTTTCTCCTCCTCCCCCCCCCCCTCCCCTCTTCCTTTTGTCTCGTGATATTTACATAACGCTTTTTCGTCGTCTGCTCGGGCTCATACGTTTGCCGACGAAAACCAGAAGCTGAGAGGACTTCTTCAGGGTGACCCGAGTACGTGTGTATGTGTATGCATGTACGGCAGTGGAGTCTACATACATGAGTGCCCAATCAAATTGTGTTTTTCTTGCTGATTGTTTGCATTACATATGTATGCGCGGACGATTGTTAAGACTGGGGGCGGTTAGGTGCTTTCTGATTCTGCCTGGAGATGTGCATGTTGATGAGATGCAGAGGCGGAGCTGACTTGCCGCATAAGAGAGGGGGGCGAGATGGAATTAAATTGCTGAGCAGATGCCGGGGTTGGGGGGGGGGGGGGGGGAATGACTGAATGGGGCCTTCTCCACTGTGGAAGCTGTCGTGAAGAAAAAGGGAAACAGTACGGCGGATTGGAACGGTCTAGGTCTCGGTCATGGTTTTCTTTTGCGGTGCTCTGCAGATGATGCCATTTGGCCCACCTGCTCATGGCGTGCGTATCCTATGGACACTTGCTTCTGCCTTGTTGTATATTTGATCATTGGAATTTGACCTTAGGATTGTGACGCTCACTTTAAATTCGGGAGACATGAAATGGCTAGACAAAAAAAAACAATAAAGTATATGCGTCGAGCGATAGGCACCATAGACAATCGTCCTCTTGCTCTTTCCTCTCGTGTAGGGCTAGACAGGCAGCAGCGTACGAGACACGCGAGTAAGGTTTGGCAGACTGTGCGCGCGAGTCGTCTGTCCCTCGGCCTTTCGCATGTGTGGGGAAATGATTATCAAATGCCCTTTCTTCCGAGGGACGAACGACTCGAAAGAACAGTGAGTGTTCGCCCATTGGTCGATCAGATCTGCGGAAATATTGGCATCTCCGGCTGTCTTTCACGTGTTTCTTCGTGGTTGCTCCTCTCGTGGTTCTCGGCCGGCGGAAGAGTGGAGAGGGGCATGAAACCCAGAGCGGCGGGAGGCCGGCATGCTCCGAATGATCCCCATGAACAAGGGCCGCGCGCATGAATGCCAGCGCCTGAAGCGGTACGTATATGCATTGTCATGACGCATAGATCAACAAGGCACGGCCTTCGGACGAATAATTAGTGTTGAGTCGGCCAACGCTTCCGCCTTGAGTTCCACATCGGGGCAATTGATAAAAAGGATTCAGAGTAAACAGCCAATGGCCTACTACTGCATCTACGCGGAGCAGGGTTCTCGCTACCGATCGGCAGAGAGGAAGAAAACACGTAGGGAAATTTCTTTAGCCCTGCGTTTTCCATTGCGTGGTTCGTGGTAGGCTACGGAGCGGCGGAGCACAGCTGGTCTACCGTCCAGGCTTCGACGTCGCCGTTGCTGCTGCATCCGCGTGCGCTGCCGGCGCCATCCCACGCAGGTTCCGCTCGCGCGCCACGGTACCAGCGCGGCTACGGCTCCCCAATCCAGTTTTCCCATCACGCGCGCGGCTGCCCTTCCGCTCGTCGGCAGCGTTTCCGCTCGTCGGTCGCATTTCCGCCAGAACGAAAGATGGGGGAGGCGAGTAAGGGGAAGGAGAAGGCGGGGCTTGGCGGCCGAGTCTCGAGCCGCGCCGCCGGCATAAGGCGATGAAGAAAAGAAGCAATGTGAAAGAGGGGATGATACGAGGGCGTGAGATGCACCTGTCCTGCTTCGCGGTACTAAGGCCAGGAAACGCCCTTATTCAACGACTTTCTCCAATGGCAACCGGTGCCTTGGCTTCGGGATTGGTTATGCATGTGCGCGGCGAAAAAAGGAAGAAAAGCCACAGTGCCATCCGTTTGCCCCAATAGGCAGTCCCGTGATGCGAGGCGTTGATGCGCCGCCTTTCCTTCATCTTTCCGCGTCTCGCTTCCCGACGCACGTCGGTCGCCCGTCGTTTGTTGTCGCGGGATGCCGTCTGCCCACCGTGCTGGAGGATTGCAGAAATGCAACGCGCAGCGCAGTTTGCGCGCGGCTGCAAGGTTGCTCGGCCGGCCGTTTGATGATGACGGCATGACGGGACGGGGGGAAGGCGGCAAGGCGAAAGAATGGGCTTCCGGGCGGCGCTGCTACTGCTTTCAGGCAAAATCGGATCGATGTCTTTTGCGGCACGGCAAGATTGATGGCAGGGCTGGAACGTGTGGCCGAGGCCCCTGCCAGGATGAATAGGCTGCCTAGGGCCGATGTATGTCCCGACCACGTACTGGAGACTGGTAGGCGAGCTGCATCGTCAGCGACTTGGGTGTAGCTGTGCGTTGTTCCCCAGCAAGCGGTGTACCGGGGCAAACGGTTGAGCGAGGATCACCGTCAGGCTTCAGCCGCGCGGATCATCCGCTGATTTACGCCCGAGCACGAGCTGCTGCTTCAACCTCATCCGGCTCCTCTGAAGACGGGAAAGAGAAGCTGCATGGCAGATCAGACTACCGCGGCAGCTGAGGTGGCCAGTCGAACCATGCACATGTTGCTTTTGCGCCTGCGTGTCGACCTCCGCTGCCCGCGTCTTCTGTTCGCGATATGGCCGCTGTCATTCGCCGCAATGCGGGGATGCGCCACTGAAGCTTTTTTTCAATTTTTCTTCTGTTTGATCTTCCGTGCCGGAGATGAGGCGACGGCATAGCGTTTCGGAAGGGAGGGTTGTCCCCGATCAAAGGCTATGCGGCTATGTCACCCACAGAGCGGCCGTTGGACGAGCCCCATTAGCGAAGCGCCACACGACAGTATGCGCAGCTGAAGTGTGGAGGCACTGTATGGTACATGGTAGCTGGAATTTACCTGGACAACCGGTCGAGGCTCACTACTACGTACACCGGTCAGTGCCGGCCCATAGCCAGCTGGCCTACCAAGTTGATCAGGACGAAAACGGTAGGAAGCGGCAGAGGAAACCTGGTTGACGTTCTGCACTGCCGATCAACGCCAGCGGCTGGTCTGTTCCGCCCACAAGGCGGCCGCGAAGGAGGCCAGGCTTTGCGCAAAGGGGGAAAGACGTGATCAAGGGAAGCAATAGCTGAAGTTTGTATCACCGTAGCGAGATTCGGCCGGGATGCAATCGCAACAGCGGACGGGGCGGGTCGGAATGGCGGAGGCACAGCGAAGGCGCGGGCTCGTAGGGCGGGTCGCTTGGGCGGGCTCAGGTGGGCTGGCGGGCTGGCTAACGGGATCGAGCATGGCGGTCCAGGTGGTGTTCGGAAGCGCGAGGTGTTGCGGGCGACACTGCAGACATCCTGAGGCGTCCAGGTGGGCGTGCCCGCCGCGTCCGACGAGGAAGGCGATTCTCTAGGTGCACTGGCTAGTCAGGCCTGTCGACGTGCGCAGGGAACAACGTTGAGGCGGCGTGCGTTACGGAAGCGGCTCGCTTAGCCGCCAGCGCGTTGTTGATACAGCAGAGCGAGTGGTTGACGCACCCTCGACGACCACGACCTTCTCGCAGCCGCCGTGCGTGCTGGCCCCGGGGAAACTGAGGACGCGGTCAGCCAGCCGTCCATGGCAGCAGAGCCGTGGCGACCTGCGGCTGGTATGCACCTTTCAACTCTGTACCTGGCCCCCGAGATAACCATAATTCCACATCGAGCCCTTTGCCCGGCGCGGTCACGGTGCTGACTGGCTCAAGCGTCGTCACCGCGACTCGGCTTCGTCACAGCCAGCTCTGAAGAAGCTGACTTTCAGGTGTTGACTCCTTGACCGGGAGGCACAAGCGGAGTCAACGAGGTCGAAAGGGGCATCGCGCGCGCGAGCGGCATCGCTTCCAGGATTCCGTGCTGGGGGGCAACAGGAAGATGCGGCAGGGAGTGTCTGCTGGCAGCTGGCGGTTTCGTCAGTCGGCTGCATGCTGGCTGAGATGGCTGGCCACAGGCCAGCAAACACGTGAGAGGACGAGTTGTCCTGTTCTTTCGGCCAGGCAGTGACCACGTGTGCCCGGGCGCGCAGCAGCAAGATAAGTAGGCTGTGGCTCATAGGCACACAGGCAGCTATCCGGATGCAAGCAGGAATCCGCAACAACGGTCCTCACCGACTGTTGCGATATGCGAGATGGGCCCCGTTTCCCCGCCCAAGCACGATGAGATGAGGGCTCTGTGCAGCCGGCTGTGCTGTTCCGAGATCGCAGCCGGGCCCAGAAGTGCCCGAGGAACGAGATTCCGGAGCGTGGGAGTGCCCACGGCGAGACGCGCGGAGGAATGGGCCCGCTGTTACGTGCACTAGCCGCCTGGATCCCCCGAGCTACGAGCGACTCTGGCTAGCACGGCGATCGTGTGGGCGAGCGTCGGCTGTCGTCGTCTGTCGTCATGGGCCTGGCTCTTGCTGGTTCTGGCTCTGGTAGCTCCCGGGCTTCCTGCCGGCCTGGCGTGCTGCCCCGATGGCAGAGGGCGAAGCTGGCGAGCAGCACCGCCTTGCGCGCCGCCACCACCGCGCGGCACGAGAGGGCAGCGGCAGTGTGGCATGCATCGCGAGAAGACGGCACAGGTAGGCTCTGACATTGCAGGAACCCGCCAGAGCGTTGAGGGCGTGGAGCCGTGGAGCAGCAGACGTGGCCGGGGGGCCCGATTCGCTGGCATGGGCGACGCGGTACCTGAGCAGGGATGGGCCGTCCTCCGACGTGGCCGGGCACCGCTGTGCCTGGAGAACCTGGGACGAGTGCGGCCAGCCTGGGCAGTGCGACACAGCGTGCGGCTTGCCAGGGACACGGCCAATGGGCAGGTGCAACGGCTCCGGGCTACACATCCCCGCCGGCCCAACGGCGTGCTTTGCTAGGTTTCGCCGCGCGGTGACGAGCGTCGAGGGCGCAGCCTGAGGCAGCGCCCGTGATTTTCAATGCGAAACCCGCCAGCGACCCAGGACTGCGGGCGCGCGCCCCCCACCGCGCAGGCCGCCGCCAGGGCAAAGCAACGTCTGCTCTGCCCAAAAGCAAGCCGCTGGCACCGGCCGCGAGACGGGTGCTTTGCTGCTTTTTGCGCGCCCGAGGCCTGACGTAAAACGTCCGCCGGGTTGCACCGAGTTGGCAGCACCACGACCGGCCGCAGACTTTTTTGCGGGCGCCCACGAGCGCAGCCGAAGCGAGGGCCGGCCCAGACTGGAACTGCAGGCGCAGCCGCTGTATGACGCCGGCGACGAGCGAGTCATTTTTGCGTTCGAAAATTCTTCCTGGTGGGTGGTGAGCACGAGGGTGGAGCTGCGCGCAGCCGCGCGCTCTCGTCAGTCAGCTCGCACGCCCGCTTTGGGAAGCGGCTGGTGGAGCCCTTGGGCGCAGCTGCCGCGGAGCTTGGCTGCGGCGGGGGTCGCTGCGCGGACCAGGGGGAGGGGGGAGGGGGGCTGGCCATCTGGCCATGATCGCATCGCATCGCGTGTCTGCAGGGCCGGGTTGACGCTCGCTCGCTGGCGTTGGCGTTGGCGCAGGCGCATTGCAGGCGGCGGCCCGCCCGCGGTGCTGCCAGAGCGGCTGGGCAGAGGGGCGCGCACGGCATCGATTTTTGACCCATGCCGCCGGCGCTGGCCCGCCGTGACTTAATCATGGGCGGCCGCCCATCACCGCTGCTCACTGGACCACAAATTCCACGCCTGCTCACCACCCAGTCCTGGTCCAGTCGCGCTGTGTCTTTTCGCGCCCGCTCTCGCCCACCCCCGCCGCTCGCTCGCCAGCTGTCTCGCCCAGCGTCCGCTTCCAGCCCGCTCTGCGCCTCTCCAGCCGCGCCTGACTGAAAGCACCGGGTGAGTGTGACGCCTGCGGCCGTTGTCTCACGTGCCGCTCACTGACCGGGTTGGGCCAGCTGCGCACCATAAACAAATCTGTCAGCGACGTGGACTGCTCGAATTCGTGCCACCCTCTCGCTCCGCGCGCCCACGCCACTGCGTCGCAGCGCGGCCCGCAACTTCGTCACGCCCAAGCCAAATAAGCCCATGCCCGGCTCCTCTGTCTGCCGCTGAGGACCTCTGCCGAACGCTTCCTTTTTAAGTGGTGATGGGAACCCAGTAGCTCTGCACCCACGCCGCCGAACCGCCTTTCAGAATGCGCGACCTCAAGCCGCTGATGCTCCCCAAACTGGCGCCCGCCAGAGACCCTCTAACCGACTCGCCTACCGCCGACGAGCGCGCCTGCCAGCTCTATCCCGATTCGTCTTTCTCTGCTTCCGAGTGCTCTACGCCATTGAGCCAAACCTTTTCCACCAACGGCCATGTCCGCCACTCGAGCTCCCTCTCCTCTCTCTCATCGTCGCCGCCCTCGTCCTACGAGCACCTGGACAGCATGACCAGCTCCAGCAAGCTCCCCCGCCTGCCCGAGGATCCTCTGGAGGGCCCCTTCGCCTCCGACCCCGACGACGACGACGAGGTCGAGGGCAAGCTCGGCTCCTGGTGCCTGTGCAGTACGTTGCATCGTGTTCCCCCCCCCCCCCTCATGCACCCCGCCTGCTAACCATGTCACAGGTGTCGCTGAGGGCTGCCCGCACGGTGACAGCAGGACCGCTCACTCAACCCCTAGCTTGACGAGCCCGGTGTTCGAGTTCGCCGACGGCCCGTTTGGCGACGACGGCGAGTCAAGGTATTCTCCCCGCCGCCGCAGGTCGGGTGACTCGCCTGCAAGCATCTCGTCACGCGTCGGCGAGCGCTTCCCCTCGCTCACCCGAAAGTGGAAAGATCGCAGGACACCTTCGGGGCTGTCTAGAGAAACAACGCGCGCATCCACGCCGTCCGGCGGTCGTTCCAGCCGGGCGTCGTCCAATGCTGGATCCGTCGTCCCCTCAGTGAACGCCAGCCTGACCGAACTCCCCCAGAGCCCAGCGCGGTCCTCGATTGAGCGCGACGATGAGCTGACACCCACTTCGCCAATTGACATCGTCAGGCCACGTGAGGATGATGACGATGCGATGGAGCGCGAGAGGCTCGCGTCGACTCCCCTGCTCCCGCCCGTGATGTGCGGCAAGGTGGCGTCGTCGGAGAAGGACTGGCAGTCCCCGCTGCAGTCACCCACAGTCGCGGATTCCAATGCGACTTTTTCGGCCATGAACAGCCCGTTGGGAACCCCGCAGGCGCCGATGATGCAAACCCCACCGCTGTCCACCAGGCCCTCGATTGCCTCGTTCAGGCATGGTCGTCCCGGCGGGATGGTACCGAGCTCGGACATCCCACCAATGACGATCAGCGACGACGACAGCGAGCAAGACGAGTGGGCGGAGAAGCTTGGCCACGCCAACTTTACAATCCTGCCCAAGCCGTACATGCCCGACGTCTGCGACGGGGCTGCATACCGCGAGCTGTTCGCCAACTGGGAACGCGCGCGCCTCAACTTCACCAAGCACCTCGTCCGCACCGGCGAGCATTTCGGCGCGACGTCCAAGACATACCGGCTGACGGAGCAGAAATGGGCCGAAGTCGACAGCCAATGGAAGAAGTTCCACGATGCCGCCGTCGCCTGCGCAACCTGGGACGGTCTCGACCACGCTACTGGCCCAACGCCGAGCGAACCCCCGCCACTGATGACGCTGCCTGCACTAGAAGACCCGAAGAAGCCCGGGCAGTTCCCCAAGCTCGGCGACGAGGACATTGTCGGTCCCATGGTTCAGGCAGCGGCGAGGAGCCTTCCGCGTTCCTCCAAGAAGGCATCCTGGGCCAAATTCCTCAGCGACATCAAGTCGCCCGGCACTTTTTTCGCACGCCCGAACCAGCAGATCGGCGTGGGCTCGAGATGAGTGCGCTCATTTTTGAACCTCTGTTGCGATTGTAACTTTACCATTACACCGTTGACGAGGTACGACCGTATACGACACTGCACCCTAGTTTTCGCTGTCAGCTGCACGCAGCTGCAACGTTCCTTGATGACCACGAATTTCCTTTGTATCTGGGAGGCTATCTAGACGGTTTACACGACAGAAACCCGGCGCTTCTCGGCAGAGCTTACTGCTGCTGGCCAGGGCGGAGAGGGGGAGGCTGCAAAAAGGTTTGGATCACAAAGGGAGCGGTTCAAAAAGTTTTGCGCATCGGACCTTGTCGATATTTCCTGCGCGTATTACCCCGGCTGACGCGTCGGCCATGTCATGTCTCGTTTGTTTCTACGCTGGAGGCACATTTCTCGGCGGCTATACCCATCCTCGGTTTCATTCTTGCAGAGTTGAAGCGAGCGTATGGCGAAGCGCAGTCAGATGTTGGATGCGCCAGGGGCCGGCCTCTCACGCGGCCGTGTCACTCGGCGCACCCATCGAAAATGTATTTTGTATAATTATTATGGAGAGGCGGCTATAGATGCCCTTGCGGATACAGGTCTGGTCCGGGCGGCGGATGTCGCAGACGCAGCACCGGGCCCGGCAGCCGCGACGTTGGCAATATAGAAAAGAGAAGTCGATAGACATGGTACAGACAACAAACATCAGAAGAGACACTTCCACCACATGAACATGGCAGTGTCGTGCTTGGCTCCGGAGTACCGTTTGCTTGCCGGAACAGGAATGCTGCATACACCGGCCGCTTTGGGACGAAGCTGCATGGCCGAATGCCGAAGGGTCCAAGGCAGGGAACAGGGCGAAATAAGGCACTTTCGTTAATCTCGTGATCGGCGATTTGTATGACCTTGAGATGGGACTGCCGGCAGGATTGCAGTGCATTGCGTGCTTGTCTTTTCCGGCCTGGTCTGGCCTGCGCCGGGCGGTCTGCCTTTGCCCCCTCGTGTTTTCTTTTTTGCGTCGTGTCGTCTTTCGATCTGGGGAAGAAGTCAAGGGGGAGGGGGGATTATGATCATCTCCATTTCAATTTCTTTTCTATTTCATGCGCGATTATGCTCGTTGTCCGTTTTACAACGGTGAGGGGCGTCCAGAGCAGGGTATGGATGTGGATTAATTACGATGATGCAGGCCAACCCAGCTCATGCAGCGCAGAGTTGCTTTTCTCTTGTTGTTGCTCTTGTTTTCTTCTTTCCTTTTCCCGCACATTCTTCTCTCCCAGACCGTTGGTTAGGACGGTAAAACGCCTGCTCGGCCGGCCACTTGTTACTTCTCCTCCTTGGCTCCCGCTGCCTTGGGTCGTCGCTGATGCTGCTGCCACTCGCTGCCCCTCATTCTCAAGAGAGAAACGCGTGATCTCGCCACCAACACATAGACATATCGATCACCGGCCCAGAACGCAATGATGTAGCTGGCGCGGTACCAACTTGGGGAGGCCGTACCGCAGTGGTCTGTTTCCTGCCTCCTCCTTCCCCCCCCCCCCCCCCCCCCCCCCCCCCCCCCCCACACGCATCCCTTTTCTTTGCTTTTGGACATGTACCGGGGGGCGGCCCGGCGTGTCGGGTCGGTTGGCTCGCCTGAGATTGATGAGGTCGTCGTCGATTGCCAACGACATCCCTTCCATATTCTTTCTTACCTGCCTGCGCACGAAAAGGAAAAAAGTGGCCAGATGATGACGGTCTGCTTCCTAGTAGACCGCATGTTGAGCGCGTCCGTCACTCGGTCAGACGTGCGTTCTCGTGACATCTCGGTCGCTTATCGCGAAGGGGTGGGGGGAGGAAGAAGAAACTTGAACTCCATTGTTCTAATACCCTTGAAACACCGGAGAGCGCCTTGAGAGCCCAAAGTTGAGAAGCACGTGGAGGGGAGGTGATCAACAAAGACAAGGGTCATCCTGGCGCTCTCGCTGTTTCTTCGTCCGTCACGTTTCCCTGGGCGAACAGGCGTTCGCAGAAGGGGTGTGTGTGTGCTTTTGTGCGGCCTCTTTTTGTTGGGTTCAAGACATTTCTTGGATGAAGGAGGGATGGATGGATGGTTACGACGAAGCGAGTCGGTGGCTTCTCCTCTCCTCCCGTTCTTCTTCTTCTCCTCCCGGGGCAAAGCAACGATAATGGGGACGATGACGTTGCATGCGTGTGCGGCCGTCCGCAGCTTTTGCAACACTCAGTTCAGGGCGAGTTGCAGGTTTCGGTTGCACGTCTATCATGCTTTGGGTGTTTTGTTTTCTCTCTCTCTCACTTTGCTTTTTTTTCCCCTCCCCCCGCTTC